ATGGACGTTAATGAAGTAATAATAATAATAATTATTATTAAATAAATGAACAGAAAGACAAAACCCGTCAAATGGACGTTAATGAAGTATTCTCTATGAATCTTGTAGGTACCAAACACTAATGACAACTCGACGTTCAGCTATTCTAATTGTACTGGGATGGGTTCATTCAGTATTCTGGCCTGTAGCACCGTTGCTTGGATGGGGAGAAATCGTCATGGATCCTATGACCAACACCTGTAGACCAAACTTTGGTGGAAAAGGCGTGGTATCGAAAACCTATGCAATGGTTATGTCATTCTTTAGCTTTGTAATCCCAACCGTTGTCATGATTGGCTGTTACTGCCAAATCTTCAGAGTAGCACGAAACCAGGTCAAGTTAATCAACAAGAATTCGATTGAGACAAGACAAAATGGCGGTTCTCATAGAAACAAAGCGAACGAATCTAAAGCTTTAAAGACAGTTCTTTTGGTGTTGGGTGCTTTTGTTCTCGCTTGGCTTCCTTACACTATAATCTCGACAGGCAAACTTGTGACAAGATGGAACATTGGGCCAACAAGTGCAAATGCTGTCCTGACGATCACATTGATAAACGGCTCGATCAATCCTTTTATCTACTCTTTACGAGACAAGCGTTTCAAAGGAGGTTTCAAGAAAATCATCTGTTCATGTGGAAAAAACTTGGTTGAGGATACAATGGATTCCTACGTTTCATCAGTACGACGCACCCAGGCAAGCCAACCAGAAATCAATGCTCAAGATACCCACTTATGAATGCAAGATAACMAAGCAACTTAGAACTTGACCACTATAGGGCTGGATTTCCACACAAAACTATTGATTTCCACAGCCAGAAATTGAGAACGAAAAGACGTACTTGTAAATCAGTAAAAAAGGTCAGACACTTTTAAACCTCATGTTTGTAAGTAAATTTCCAACTTTTGAAGGTTGAGSAATGTTTCAAGAAAACAAAGGCGTAAAATCAATGTACTCTTTAACGTCTTCCGGCCGCCCTCATCAATTGTTCAAAAAAATGATGCCTGAGAACGGCCCCATAGCTAGTGAATGCTATCATCCGGSAAGTTCAAGTACATGTCGCATATCCACAAATGAGCTACAGTAAAAGTGCCATTTATTCTAACACTTGGAATTGTTCAATAATACGATAAATCTCCTATCACACTTTGGATATGGCTATTGATCATCAATAAAGATTAAAATTAGCTCCAATATATACTTAATCTGCATTCCGACCTTTCTCATGTCAGACATGTTGATTGTGTCAGTAAAGATTACTGATTGCTTTAAAATCATAGGCCTTTTGAAACTATTTCCTTCTCTCTCTAGGCTATTCAATGTATGAAATACACTCTGTAATATATAATGTTTTAAGGCGTCTATATTTTTCGTAAACCGGTTGACTTAGTAATTGGTAAAGAACCGGTCGGTCGGCAGGGTTCATGCCGAGGTAACAACCCACACTCGATATTTCGTTTGATCAACCACGCGCAAGGGACCTCGTCTTCAATTCTTTTGAGCATGAGTAACCAGAAAATCGAAAATAAGCTATTCCAAATCACACTAAAATAAGATTTTCAGGGATTTGTTAGCACTGCATATATTACTGTATCAATACTATGTAGTGCCCAATCGTCTATCAAGCTCCTTATCAACAGCTTCCCAAAGGTTCCCCATTGGTTCATCGTCRCTATCTGCCCACGAGGCAACCATTCGTCTTTTCTTGATCCCGTTATCTTTAGGTATAGAGGATTCATTTTGAGGACCGCCATTAGACGGGTCTTCGTAAATCGGTACGATATTTGGTGTATCGTCCTTATTAACATTGACCGGGTCCCCTGGAGGCGGATCACTTGGAGGAGGTGGAAAATTAAATTCAGATACATTGGTCCATGTTCGTTCTAATGGTGGCATGTCCTCGTCAGGAAAAGGAACATCCGATAAATCAGAATCGTCATCGGGATACTGAAAGTCTGGTATATCATCGCTGATGTTACTGGATCTATTTTTTATTGGTATGTCTGGTGGGTCGCATGAGGATTCTGCAACTGGGACTTCATCGGGATGTYTAKCCTCATCGACAGGAGAGCTGCACGMAGACACGTCCACTTGGGCGTAAGTAGGTACTTGATTTGAAAAGTGTTGCTTTGGTACTTCAACACTTGGGCCGTTGGACCGTTTCTTTTTCTTTGACACATCTACTTGTGCATATGTTGGCTTTGAAGGATCGTTATGAGGTACATCCACGTTGTCGTAGAGATTGGGACGACTATCATTATTGTTACTCGTTACCTTTCCTTGATCTACATCGTTTTCGTAAATACTATTGGTTTTTTGATTAAAATCACCGTTTCTTTCTAAAACAGTAGGATCCAAGTATGCAATCGCCCGTTCATTGCGAAAGGAGGTTGAAATAGGAACTACATTGCCTGTATGTGCAAACATTTCCAGATCCAAATCAGTGTCCAGTTCAGGGTTGAAAGCACCAACGTTGTACTGTCCCTCAACACTCCCTTCGCTTGCATTTGAACTGAAAAGATATTGAAATCAAACTGGGATTGAGAACGGAAAACATGAATTAAATCGAAAAAATTAAATGATTAATGCGTAAGCAACAGAGAGAAAGAGAGAAAGAGAAAGAGAGAAAGAGAAAGAGAGAAAGAGAACTAGAGAGAAAGAGAAAGAGAGAAAGAGAGAATGTAACTACATCTAATACCTTGGGGTTCGCCTTCGTCGATTTGATATTTGAAAAGTATGGTCTATAAAAGAAAAAAAGGCATGCTTATCAATTATGAAAAGGGAATCATAAAGAGTAAAGATTCTTTACTTGTTTGTCTTGTTCTTTTCCACCAGCACCAAACAGTGATTAGGACCACCATTATTAGAATAACACCACATACAAGACCACCAACCGCTACTTTCCAACTGATGCTGTTTTTATCTTGCGATTGGCCAGCAATAGAACCAAATTTATCTTAAACATACAAAATCATCGATTCTTGGTAAGAAATATTGCTTAACTTCACTGGTCCAATCTACTATAATCTTGTTGTGACAGTTATGCTGACTAGGAGGTTTTACATCGCGTATATCMAAATTACATACCTGTTGCAGTTTCTACTTCAAACACTMTAGAAAACGGCCCTCGATCATCAACATTGCTGTACATTTGAACTTTCACCATGTAAACAKTACTCTCCTTTAAGTCCATTATCACGTRACTTGTGGCAGCACCATTAGCTATGTTAACTTTGGTAAAATTGCCTCCGGTTTCCATGAACAAAATATTGTACCCTCTGACTGAATAAGGTGGTTTCTAAATTACAACAAAAGACAATGGCMGWTCACTAGCGACGCAAAGATAAGCGCAASCATAAGTCTTACGACAGTCTGAATCCATGACTCGCATCATGCTTGTCTTATTCTTGAGTGATATATATAGTCTAATAATGTCTAGTAGAGACCAAACGATCAGACATGACGCGAATTCGATTTGTTATACATAATAAAGCGTATTGTCAAGAGTTTTATTCGCCAAATCACCAGAGGAACACGCTCCATGGTTGCAATAATGGTATTGAGTATATRCAAACAGGTGGTTCAATCTATAAAGCATTCCATACTAACCTGCCATTTAGCAATAATTTGGTGAGGACCATTTGAAACAACAAYGAGATCCAGAGGAGGAGTTAATGGCACTGAAAAGTAATGACATGCTCAGAAAATCACACACCGCTGAGGATGATAAATATGCAGCCAAACATTCACGCAAAAAGTGAAATGAATGAGAGTTAAAAGGGCATTACCAATTTGAAGAGTTCTGGCAGAAGATGAAGCTTCTTCACTCATGAGGGTTACACTATMCTCACTTCGACGCCTCCAGGCAAAAACCWTAATGGAATACTGTATATCTGCACTAAGTTCACTCAAAGTGTACTCCTGAAGGTTCTTGGTATTCTCGTGTGACATGTTAAAATCATTAGTGGTATTAGGTAACTTAGGATAGTACATCAAGCGATACATGAGGTCATTCAAAGGTCCATTCAGATTTAATGGCACAGACCACGTGACTTTGATTTGACTTGCACTTATCACGTGCGCAGCTACGTCACGAGGAGAGGAAGGACCTGGAAAAAAATCATGATTAACCTGTCATTAACGTCAATTTAGGGATCCATACATGTTACAACAACTACACATTTTGACTTACTCGAAGACAAGGTTGACACATTGCCTGACGTCATACTATAGTTACTCGTTCCCAGTCCATTAACCGCCTTCAATCTAAATTGATAGATAGTATATGCTGACAGACGGGAGACTGAGTACGACAGTTCTTTGATTGTRTCATCTACTAGTTCCCATGAATTTTCAGCTGACCATTTTTCTAGCCGATAGTGAGTAACTAAGTATTGATGWGGACTGGGCCTCAACCACGTGACTTTKAGTGAATTAGAGGTAACGTCAGWAGCCGAGACAGAAGTAGGAGCGACTGGAGCTATAAAACGAGAAACAAAAATAACAGTTAACTTCCTAAAACGAAAGAGGTTCAACAATTACAATGAATATCTATTACCTTTTACAAAATAAACGTCAGTATTCTGAGGATTTGTAGCTTTACACATAAAATTTTCTTTGTCTAATGAGCCCACAGGAATCTGTAGCTTTTTGTCAGCTGTAACGATGTAGTTAGGATACTGTGCATTACGAGGTAACAAATCTTTCCCGACGTACCAAGCGACTCGTGGCAGTGGAGTRCCACTAACTAGACACGTGACAGTCTCGATTACAGATGACATCTTCCTCGTTATATCCGTTATTACTGATTTTGCTGAAACAAAGAAATAACAATTTATTTTACTTTGGTTTTGTCAGTCAAATTCGATGAATTAAGAAAAATGCACAATAATTTCACGTACTTTGTATAGTGAGGCGGATTGYCACTGGTCCTGCGTCGCCAAGGTAGTTACTAGCTTCGCACTTGTAGTCCCCAGTTTTACTCGGCTGTACATCATTGATGATTTGYTCATAATCTTTTCCACCGAATACTTGTCCGTTTGGCCGTCGCCATGTTATAACAGCTTTAGGACTAGCATCAGGCTCACACCTTAGAACAGCATCTTGACCTTGAAGTACTCCGACATCCTTTGGYGGGACAAGGAACGACGGGTAATCTGCAATGAAAGGTGCACACGCATTAAGTGAGTATGGCACATGGTTTCTTTGGTAAATATCACATTTATACTTACACAGCACATTCAACAAGACTTGAGGGGTTGTTGCGCAACCAGCCGCGTTACACGCACGACACGCGTAGTACGATCGGTCACTCCTTTGTGCTGAGTTTATTTTCAAATCACCGCTGACAAGAACATTAGCTTCAGSAACTTGACTAACCAGGTTTCCAGACTGGTCCACTTTGAACCACGTGATACGCGGCGTTTCTTTRGCAGCTGCTCTACACGTCAAACTTGCCATCATCGAAATATCGACAGTAGTGTTGCTTGGTAATGATGTAAAACTTGGTGAATCTAGAGAAAGGTGACGTGTATCAACAACAGCTTTGCACCGAGGGAGTCAAGGTGGATAAATCCATCSAAGAGCGCACATTTTCTATACTACTATCATCCATGTTCATATCCCAACCATCGTTATTACTCATCATGATTGTTGATTAACTATCATCATCATTAATGAATACGATGTCCCACCTGTGATGAAGAGATACGCTTTTCCTTCACTTCTTCCTGCGTTGTTTGTCGCGCGACAAGTAAACCATCCCTCATCGCTATTAACCGCATTTATTATCACAAGAGTACTGTTAGTAAGAATCGAGACACGAGGTCCTTCTTGAACACGRACACCACCTTTGTACCACGTGATTGATGGGGTTGGATCACCGGATGATTGACAGACGAATCTTGCTGTCCCACCAATCCCGATGGTTAGGTTGCTTGGTTTTAAGGTAATTACTGGAACAACTACAATACGCAATGGTTCGTGAGGTGAGTAATACATTGGGGCTAAGAGTCATCCCATTAGACAGAATTAATCAATCTCCTTACCAATGATTCTTAAAAAGAACGCTTCACTCGCAGTTCCCATTGTGTTATTAGCGCGGCACGTGTATTTCCCTTCATAACTAGCATTGATAGACGTCAATCTAAGCTCCTGAGTCCTTCCAATTATACTTCCTTTATACAGCCACTGAAAGGACGGACTGGGATTCGCACGCGCAGGGCACGTGATAAATAGGTCTTGACCGCGTGTCCTCGTTACATTTTGAAGACTTGTTGTAAACTTTGGAACAGCTGCAAACAACAAACAAATGAACATAACAAGTAAATAGATAGGAAGGAAACGTAAAATGAGAAAAGAAACAAAAGGACGACAAGAAATAATAAAAAAAAATCAATAGAAGATGAAGTGACTGCTTACTTTGCACAGACAAAGTGGCCTCCACTTTTCTTGTTCCCACGGAATTGACCGCAATACACGCATATATTCCTTGGTTTTCCTCTTTTACCAGTACAATATTTAATGTATTGTTCAGCAATACATGGATATTTCCAGAGGATAATGTTTCTTTTGAAACAACTGTTCCATTTGGCAACTGCCAAGTAACTTTAGGTTCTGGGTCGCTGTTTGCAGTGCAAGCAAAAGACACGGAATCCTTTTCATTAACCACTTTACTAATTGGAGAAACAGTGAACCTCGGATACCCTAAATATTTAATGAAMAATATTTTAACATTTTTTTCTTCTATACATGACTGCAGTGCAGCTAAAAWACTATAACAAGATACCTTTAATTCTCAACMGCACATATGCAACGTTTTCTCCCTGAGTATTATTCGCCATACAAGCATAARTCCCATCATCTGATGGCACTAGATTCKAGATTCCCAAAGCCCCAGGCCTTGGMTGACTTTGYCTATCACTAGGTATTGTACCACCAATACGTTTCCAACTAATGACTGGTGAAGGACTTCCAGACGCTTGGCAGTAAAATACTACCATTGTTCCCTCTGTAGCTGAAGCATTACTGGGTTTGGTGGTGAATATGGGAGGGGAAGGAGGATCTGTAACATAATAAATTGATTATTATTTGCATAATATGCTTCGTAAAACCATTGAGGTACTCTTTCATAATCAAAATATGTTATGAGTTATTTGAMATTGCTGTGCAGAAATTATTATTGRTTGTTGACACAAATAATACCTTTCAATACATAGAAAAATTGCAAAATCTAAGTTTTCAGAAGTTCCAAAATTTGTGCAAATTTCGTAATTTCGATTTCGTATGAGTGGGAAACGGACGGTACTGTACTGTGACTGTAATCGTACTGTAACCAAATTCCAGTGGCCCATTGGTTCACCAAAATTGTGCAGGCCAGGTTCGGTGACTGTGCGTTAACAGTGTCCCACTCATACGAAATCCGCTCTATACCTACTGTTTCAACTACTGGTAGTGTAGGAAAGATTTCTTACCAAGAACAGTTAGGTCTGCAAATGCACTGTCTTCTCCAAAAGAGTTCTTCGCTGTGCATCTGTATGAACCGGCATCAGCTTTGATTAAAGTGCTTATAAACAGGGAACCATTTCCATAAATAGTTATCCTGCTACCATTGGAAAGTTTTCTAGAATTATGATACCATGTTACTGATGGTTGTGGTCTGGCCACAGCACCACAAGTAAACTGTACAGTAAAACCTTCATGTGATGTCAARGGAGAAGGTGGCTGGACAACATCGGGTGAACCTAAAGTCATTATAAATATGAAGTCAGTATAATAGAATAGTGATATAGTGCGTCAATAGTTATTCTACCTTGAACATTAAGCTCTGCATTTTTGCTGGTAATGGTGTTTGCATTTCCAGTTGCACGACAGGCATAATTACCAGCATCATCAAATACCAGATTTGTAATGGTGAGGAATGCTTTCAGGCCAGTAACACCAGATGTACCCCTTGTCACATTGACACCATTTTTAAGCCAAAAGTATGATGGACTAACAAGTCCYGTTGCCTGGCAAGTCAGAGTTATATCACTTCCTTTGAGTTTAAGGGAACTTTGTGGTTGAAGGCTAAAACTCTGACAACAACCAGCATGAAACCTTGACACTAAAACAAAAGAATGTAATGTAATTATAGAAATGTCCAGTGACATGTAGCACAGGGAACAGTTCTCCAATGGTTTTAAACAATTCCAACMACATTCGCACTGAGGGTACATAAATTATCAAGTATGCAGCCATCTTGTACAATGTACATAACTTTATATTGCTGCTCTAAGACCAGCTCAGACATATCTTGTATTCATCTGTAAATATGACTTAATAAACGAGAGTTTAGGTAATAAAACATCAATAGTTACCTGATATAATGAGTATTACTGCAATGCTGTACTCCATGATAATATCTTTACAAATGTCATCCTATAACCCAAATTTATCCTGTTATTCAACTAAACCATTGTTCTGGTTAAAGTGAAGAAACTTTCTTGTCTGCTAAAACACAAGTGTTTATCACAAATTTGATGTTATGAAGTAAACAATGTCTTAGCTTYAAGAACCCTTCTCCAATTATTATTCCATTTTACAACCTTAGTGTCAACATCTACTAAATAATTTCAAGGCTGACTTTAACTGCCTCTTAAAATGATATGAACGAAGTTGACAAGTCTTAAAACATGCAAATGAGAATTTTATTGTCATGAATATACACATCATAAATTATACAAGACAAAATGCTGGCAAGTTCAAGTGAAAATCACATACTTTCATTTTTATAGTACGTTTAAACTTTTTTCAGTGATTGTAAAACTGCCGAGAAGTTAAAGTTTATCAGTTCATATCAAAGTTTCCGAAAACAAGAGGAAATAAATAATTTATCATTGAATTTTTGGAGAAAAATTCTTAAAGTACGACACAAAAAGTGTAAAGTGATTATATTTCAACAAAACAATACGAACTTGAACGAAGCTGTGCCATAGCAACGACTTAAAGCGATCTGACGCAGTGCATGAAGGACATGACATAGGATTCCGATGTCATACATGAAATCACTAATCTCGACACACAAACAATATGGGAATCAAACAAAAAGATACCTCTTAATCCCGACAACGATGCTACAATGTACTTTCACTAATAACTGACATGATGTATTCGGCGTGTGATCATTGATACTCGTTCAATTATAACTTAACGTACTTTCAATGCATTGATACAGAATTCTTATTCAATATGGGAAGCAAACATACCAAGTACAACCTTAAAAACCACATAAGTCTGAAGTGGCTGAAGTGCCACAAATGTCACCAAAATCAATGATTTTTAAAGTTTTATTCGGCAGTTGTTTTGCATATACTCGATCAACCCGTGACAGACACCGCTGGAACTCACTTCTCGTACTATAAAGCTTATATTTCCCCATTTTTAAAGATACTATTTTGTTTCTTACTCACTTTATCTTACTCTAAGGCTTCTGAGATCCATTGTGAAGGCGTAGATACCACTCTGGTCAACACTAAATAGAACTAACACACCATCGGTATACATTTCATGATTTCCTTCCTTGAACTACTGCATGGCGTGACATTCACAATGCTTTGTATTGTGTGACAAAACAGTCCCATTGGCGCCTTTTATCCGAGGATGCAATAAAAATGAATTTTTGTAAAGTATAAAAAGCTTTTGACGTTTTCCATTCGTAAAAGATAAACTGATCGTACTGTGGATCAGATATTAATGAATGAATGACATTGACTGCAAAAAAAATAATAAATAGGTACACGCACACAATGGACGAAATGAGCGGTAGTTTTCAAATGTATAGAAAAAATCCCCAAAACAGTATCGAAGTAAGGAAAGACTATTATAACTTTATTAACAATCTAAAAAAGATCCCGATTCATATTACAACGTTCTATTTCGGGAATCTTTGGTTTCCTGTCACACTTAGCGTGACGATCGGCTTCCGCTCAAATATCTACAATGTACTAAATGTTTCTAATGTATAAAAAAAATCCCCAAAACAGTTTCGAAGTAAGGGAAAAACTTTATTTAAAAAAAAATTTCGACTTTTGTGAGTAATGATTTTTTTGTGGGCAGTAGTTTTTTGTGACTTGAATATATGAATGAATATGATCAGAAACCTATCTATAAGGTTTCTGATATGATATGAATATATAGCCACTTCGAATRTTTATTAAGGGGTAATGGTATAAGGGTTTTTTTAAAAAAAGCAGAAAGATCTACCGAGACAGTCAGGTGTCGAATCGCCTTACGTATGTGAATATCTACGTTTGAACATTGAGAGCACAAGGAGGAGTATACTGTTACATAAAAAACTGTCAGATAGGCCATAAAAAYGCTGCAAGGAGCTCGTTGAGCGTCGTCTTACAAGCATCTTTTAAGGTGCTGAGAATAGCGGGTGTGGTTAATTAAGGTAATTATCATTGAAGTGCTGGAAAACATTCTGAGTGAGTTGATAAGAGCAGTAAAGAAGTTATTAATTTAATTGATTACATACGTATTTGAGCAATTGGTTTTGGTGTCTGTTCGTTTGCTATCAAGTGAAGTTTCAAAAACATGTACTATTAGACACTATTTCAGCTTGCTGCATTTATCTTAAAGAGCTAATTGACTGTAAATCTTCTTTATTGACTGTTAACAGCATTGGTATTTACCTTGTGGTGCGCGCCGTATGGCGCCATGAAAACGTCACAACTATGATAATTTACTTTTATTTTGATAGTGAGAAAGAATTCAACTGATAAGCATTCAATTTTTATTTTTATTCTTTTGTATTGGCTAATGTGGCTAAGCTTGTTTATGATATGTGYTTTGTATGGAAATTAGCTCTTGACCCTCAAATAGGAAATCTTGAGTATCATTAAGAGAGACATATTGACCTCGTGCGGCCCTCCACTGAATGTTTCGCTAGTGTAGCGTAAACCGTTAAGTAATAGTGACGTTGGTTTATGACTAAGTTATCTTTGCTGCAACGTCCGATAGGTTTGCCTGTTTGAAATGGCTGGAAACGGCACTAAAACTGAGGATGACGTTAAAGAGACCCTGCGAGTCATGAAACTTGTGGGATACACTGTTGTATTTGCAGCCGGGTTTTTGTTGAAYGTGCTCCTGCTCTTGGCCGTGACGAGAAAAAGACTTCGACACAAAAACACATCCAAGACATTTATAATCATAATGCAAAATCTCGGAGTGGCCGACATTTTGCTGCTAGTGTCGACTATACCTTTTGACGCTGCTTGGCACGAGGTAAGACGAACTTTATCAAACAGTCATGGTGTAGTAATTATTATTTGTTGTGTTCGAATACAATTCAAGTACWCTTCCATTTGGTCGATTTGCTTTATAAACACGAAAAATCCATCACGAAAAATACATAGAATTACGTTATGAAATAGCCACATGAGGACTAACACGTTACTCTGCAAAAAAGGTTGTGGACTGAGATATGTACTATCAAAATGATATTCATAAAAATATTAGCTACACCACCTTATAAATGTATGACAAAAAACAAGTGTACGATTACAACAAACTACTGAGATCGCATGGACAGAAATGCAAACAATCATTCTCAAATGGTTATGAAAGCCGATATCATTTTGTGAAAGTTCAACGCATAGTTCTCCCAACTTGCAACATCATGATCTATTTGATATTCATTGGTTTTGAATGAAATTTTTCAGCCGGAAAAATCTACAAAGCGCAATTCCTTTTGTTGATGTGTTGCCTTGGAACCTCATCAAATATAGCTTCAAGATGCATCTTTAACTTTTACGATATTTTATGAATCTTTAAACACATATCTCAATCCATAAGCAGACCTTTTTKCACTGAATGTATGACTGATTAAAAACGTGTTCGACTGTCTTGCAGCTCCGGTGATTTTTCGTYTGTACTCTCGACTTGCTAAATTGTTTATTTGACCAMAAATATGGCATATTTTGTYATCAAAAGTGAACTTAGCTGGTGTTACGGAAACTTTTTGCAGTGCATAAACATTTGAAAAAAAACGAGATTATCTCGAATTACACTATTTTTCATCCTATGTGTTTTGTGTTTAATGATGATTACATCGAGCCGTGTGTTCTTGTTTGATGTTGGTTGACTGGTGAAGTGAACCGTTTCTTTTTATGCTCAGAAACACACAGGAAGTCARTGAGGCAGACAGACACTAATAGAGGCAAACCATACTAAATGCGTAGCTTATTTACCAGTAAACATATGATTGTTTTTGTTTTAYAAGGTGCAAGAATACCCGTACGGTGCTGGGATGTGCAAGTTCTTATGGCCTTTCCAAACTGCATGCTTTCAGGCCATTGTGTTCACTTATGTCATTCTTAGCTTTCATCGTACCTATGGTGTTAAAACAAGGCTGTTTGGACAAATGAAAAGTGTGTACGGGTAAGTCATTGATATACTACCACACCTACGACCCCACCCAGCGCACTAGACAGCAATGGCAGTTTACTTGAMCACTGTCTGAAATGTKGAGGTCTCATTTCTAGACATAATGAAAGTTTATCATTTGTATCAGATATTTGGTGGTTCTGATCGTATGGATTGCMAGTTTTGCCACTGTTATACCATATATGGTATTYCTAAAGCATACTTCAGGCAAGGTGGATTCTTGTGATGAAGATTGGGAACAAATTGAGCACAGACAGACATATACTGTATTCCTATTCCTACTACAGTATCTTATCCCACTATTGGTAATGTCAGTCTTGTATTTCATCACATTGAGRGAACTGAAAGCTTACAGGTAAGCCGCGCATGTAATTAGAGGCGTTGCCACTGACATAGGACGCAGTACTAGCTGTAAACCAGTAGATAAGTCAGTACTATGCTTCAAGTTGTTATTATCTGCTATTGTTATATGCATTGCCATTAATGCAAAAGCTTCGAGCAACAAACCAACTGTCTTCATTAAAAGACAGAAATCGGTCAATTCTAAAACGTTTATTTCTAATGTCTTTTCCAGCTCCCGACAAGATACAATGGTTGCACACCGCGCCAATCGACATGGCCGCGTGAATCTTATGCTGATTGCATATCTTGTCATGTTTGCTATTTTGCTACTCCCTCATCAGATCATGTGGTTCATGCTTGATTTCGGTAATGGTGCAAATGAAAAGTACTTTTTTGACGTTCTGAATTTTCTGTATGTTTTCACATATGCCATCACTGTGACAAATGCTATTTTGTTCTTCATGTTCAACGATGAGTTTAAGTCCGATATGTGGTACTTTTTGAGGTAAGATGATCTTATGTGTGGCTAGTCAAACCATTCTTATGTGCTGCTACTTTATGCAGTTTTGTTAACAACTTGTCTTGGTACGGCAGAAACTGAAATACGAACAGAGCTTTTTTTTCTCAAAAAAATACCCTGCGAACAGAGTGTATTACCTTTACCAGGGGCGTAGCGTCCTTTACGCATATACGCACGTGCGTACTAGTGGCAAGGAAATATTAAAATTTTCGGAAATTTTTTATATAATTGTCTATGCTTGCTCTCTCCAACCAAGGCTGCGTTATCAAAAAGAACCTCAAAACGCTGGAAATCGCATTTCCAAAAGTTATTATTTTAAAATTTCCTGGGGAGGACCCCCTAACCCCTAACCCAGACCCCCTTAATACTCCCGTTTTCGCCGGTCGTTAGCCCCGCCAATCCATAACATGTGTCACGGTCCTTGACATGTGCGTCCTAGACAAAACGTCCACGCTACGCGCCTGCTTACCTCAATAAAAATTCTCTGTCCGCAGAGTACTGAAATGCTTGAGCTGCACAATATGAAATTAGTGTTTATATCTATTTTTTAAGGTGTTACTGTTGTCGTCATGATCCTTACAGTGTAGAGGATGACGTCTCTGAGTCTTTTTCTGTCGAGCGACATCCCAATCAAGATGGCACAGAAAACGGAGACGTTTGTTTGGAGCCGTACAAGAACCAGCARCACACACCACATRTCAGAGAAGCACAATACAACCCCGCGTCTTCAATGGAAATATAGCTTTCATAGCTCATCAGTTTACCAGTTAGATACGTATTTTTATGAGGGTATATATGTAATAAGCTATTTAAAAAATGTTAATTGTTCCTGTCAGTCTGAATGGTGCAGTAAGAAACGCTGCTTTCCAGTAACCAAGGGGTACGACATAGCTCTGCTCATCGTACTCATTACACCTTCTATAATCCTGATTTGAATGACAATCCAAAAACACGGCCAAAATCGCAGAAGAGTGAATAGTCTATGCATATCGATGAATACCTAACATTTCAAAAAGTCCAACCTAAGACACATAAAATCATGCCTGTAGGGTGGTAGATGTTGGTAGAGTTCGGAAACACCACCAGACCGACATCCTTTTACTGTGTTTTGTAGATTGTTTATTGTATGTGATATGTGAGTTTTTATAGCACTGTTAGATGATAGAGGTCCGTTCTAACGAGTAACGACCCGTCGTCCCTCCCCCCCCGACCATTATGGATTCTGACATAATGGATAAGAAAAATAWAGATAAAGAAAAATCCCACTTCAATGTTCAGATATTTTATTACTTCGATTTTCTAAATCTCTATATCTATAAGTTATTCTAAAATTCTCTATTTACAAGACTGGGTCTTGGTATCTGGTATAATTATCGATTTATAAAGTCCATTGTAAGTTACTACGTTGTTCCCTGCCCTTTATGTTTTTTYGTATCAATTTAAAGCTGATGGTTGAAATATCGATCTTCACATCATGACTATTTAACGTGTGTTTTACTGATGAAAAGACTGACATTTAAACCACGGCTAAGAACGATAAGGAAGGAAATGAGAGTATCTAGTTCAATATCCTGACTAACGAAAACTTGATCACTGAATACCATCCATCACTGGTGAGCGACCCAGAGTATAATTGTTGGTCTCCCTTGATGGAGTTGGTTATTGTTGGACAGAGCATCAAACACCAATCAACTTTTCTTCTGTTTTCGTGTTTGAAGTGTGATGTTTGRCAATCCAACAACGCCGGATAGTTTTAAGTGATACAACATTTTKAAAAGTTGAAAAGTTCTTCAAMCAGTTGTACAAAAGGTGGATTATGGTTATCGACCAAACTAATCGTTATCCAGTCATTACAGACAAYGGTCCAGATGAGCTTACCCACCACTTGTACAACCAGGGAGATTATTCAGTTAGACGAGTTGGAGTTGTTGGCTGAAAAAGTTTTAGATTATATCTAATTCTATATTAATAGGTASAGTAGGGGATTAGCCATTATCCAGTATTTTCACTTTCTTCTGATCGTCCCTTTTCTTCGTCATCAATGATTGGTGCTTTACCATCTTGTCTCAAACTTCAAATGAATTTGATAGAGTTTAATCAAAATGAAAATAAAATTAGAAATACCTGCACATCAAACGTCATTGTTTTCACGAGTAGGAAYAACACGTATAGAAAAGGGAGGGAGATGTGATGGGATGAGAAAGAGACARAGTGAGGGAGRGGTAGTGGGATGAAAAAGTGGAATGTGTAARAGAGAATGTATGATAAAGAACACTAATAATTCTCACCGAGCATTAATTAAGAACTGTGCCAAGCCAACAGCTTCTGCTGTTCCTGTTATTAAAACTTCTTTTTTATCTGATCCGCTTTCTCCATCACTTATCTTTACACTTGCACCAGACATTTGTCTGTTAAGCAAGAATTATTTTAGTACTGAACAATAGATCTGACAACMCTGCTGTATCTAGAATATCAATTAATATACAACAGTGCACCTTATGCCAGTGATGTAGCTGCCTTTTTGTCCAATAATACTCCCAACAGCCTAAGAATAACATCAGTAAATGTTAAATTACATGTAAAAATAGTGTTTATCTTGGTAACTTACATTTTTAGGTATAACCATAGTGTGTGATGTTGGTGGACCTTTGTTATAACCTTGATTCATTGTTGCACCTTGCATCCTACCTCTGCCACCTCTTCCTCCTAGCAATAGAGCAATTTGTCAGGTTTCATAATAAAAATGTATTACTTTTGCAATGCATTTGTTTGTAACTGATATGACTACACTGGGACACGGGATGTCTTCGGCCAGTATCCAACATTGGTTAACACAACTGGGTGTCTCTAAACATGACGTCCTGCAAGGCATAACACTCCCTTGTGTCATCACTATGAGGGCTGCTAACTCCCAGCAGCTGTAAGCATAATATACCTTAAACAAGCTAGCACAAATTAAACAAACCTCCATAACCTCCTCTTCCAGGTATGTACCCATTGTGGAATACTGGTGCCATAAACTGTCCTGGATAACCTTGATAATGCTAATCAAACAAAGTTATAATTAGTAGAATTATTTAAAAAGCATTACTACAGTTATTGTTAATTACCTGTGGTGGATAGAAGCCAAAATGATGATCAGGTTTGTGTGGTGTGTAAGGCATTGTGTGACCTTTGGCTGGGAACTACAAAGTGAAGAAAAAAATATCATTATCTGCTGATAAATCAGATGAAACATTCATTGTTTGACAGAGACTTAACATGTGTTTATGTACCTCTAACATRACAGTGCAAAGATGCTCAATGCATATCGCAAGTGCCTCTGGTGTTCCTGTTGATATAAAATATGAGAAAATATGATCATTTTGCGATTGAGAAAATATATATAATACATATCAGAATATGAACATAGCTCCTTATCCCTCTACTCTAAAACACATACAAGAAACATTTTAAATCAAGGCAATATACATGATATTAATATGGTAGGATACGTACTCAAGAGGCAATAGAAACAACTCAATGGCTGTGCTTTTCTTAAATATCATTGCCTGTACAATTTATATCTAATACAAGAGTACAGTGATCAAAATAACCATAAGCTAACCTGAAAGTGTAACAGCTCTCTCAGTTGATCCTGGGAGAAACTCTCCAGCCACCTACATCAACAGTAAGTTAATCACAATTATTATCATAACTAATTTTAAAGCCACTGAGAATTTAATATTGCTTAAGGTAAGTTTCTTAAGCATGAAACACATGATAGGAAAGTGTGTAATCAAAATGCCATGTGAGTCGCTTCAATCAGYGTTTTGCTTATTGTCAACAACAAAAAGTTGCGCAAATGCCATTCAAAGTGACTTGCATGGTATTTCGCTTACGCACTTTTYTATTGTGTGCAGAAGGCTTKACACTTACCACAACAGATGCACCTGACACCTTAAAATAAGAAATTGAAAATTTTATTTGTAAGTTTCTCATGGGATGGTTTAACCAAGAAAATATTTTTGACTTTTGCTGCATCAAATATCACAKTCTAATGTGAATCACTAGTAATCAATTTCAAGAATACCTCTCTTATTTCTTGGATTTTAGTTCCTCCCTTGCCAATAATGGATCCACATTGACTACCAGGAACAATTAAACGTAAAGTGACAGGCGGGGTAATGTTACTCTTAGAATTGTTAATTAGTTCCTACAAAGAAAAAAAGGTAAGCTGATGAAACTGGTAAATAACATGAGACAAGAAACAATGTCATCACCATTGTGTRTCTTCATTGGGACTTCAGAATCAATGTCCAAAACTTACCATTGCTAATGAAAAGGAGCCCATAMATYATGATGACACGCAGTCAATATCTATAATATTTAAAAAAAATMAACTCACCTCTTCAAGTTTCTGACTAATCAGAGTAAATGCAGTTACAACAGATTGCTTTGCACCAGTGACAGATACAATTCTACGATAAAATATAYTGTTAATATTCTAATTATTGATACTCTGTGTACATCATTTCAATAGTAAAGTAATGTTACCTTTCTGGGGTTGAACCATCAGAGATGTTAATATGTGCATCACTCTGAAATAATCATCACAAATAAATATCAACATTGAAGGAATCTGAATCATTTTGAGATATCTCATGAATAAAGTTGATTCTTGTTATTAAAAAAAGTTTTTTAATTAAACTCCAAATCAATTGTGGAATATTCAGGTCACTTAGCATGTCAGATTTATGACAAGTTGCTTTCTCTGATTATAGAAAATTAAATGAAGCTGAAAACAGCCATTTAACCAAGAATCATTAAAACATCTTGTGTTGMAAGCAAGGACAGTTTCTTGKGAGTAAAAGAGTGTGTTAAAGTCTACATTCTGTCATAGTTCTTGGATATGCTAAACATAAARACAACAATTGGTCTTACCTCCTCCCTAAAGTTTTTAACTGTTGCTCCACCCTGGAAAAGATAGATAAAATATTTCAACAACCTATGCAAATACAGTGTAATAAAAATAAACAATCCAAAAAGGATCCAAACACAAAACAAGTGTTAACTGGTCTATTTTTATAACAAAATCATGATCAAAATAACAAACCAATACCACTAACTGTGAAGAATTTTCCATAAGAGTTAACTTGACACCAAACAACATAAAGTTATAGGTTATAAAGAAACAAAGTTATAGGCTGATACTAATATGTCTAATAATGGTTTTGTGATAGGGTTAAATCAAGTAAAAGAAAAATGTTCTTGTGATAATGGTAATAATATATTGATAAGCATAGAATTACCGATATTGGAGAAATAAATGAGAACACAGCCTATAATAAGATTAGATACACACTCTTAGGTGGGTAAGAGGATGAACATTTTTTCTTTGACTTTTAGTGAGTATTGTATGCTTGAGAGTAGTGGCCTATTATCAGTGCAAAACCACTAAATAATGTCAACTACAATATGTYTCTGGCTGGAAGTCATTTTGTCTTATAAATCATACCTTCCCTATTATGCTTCCAATATCCTAAAAAAAACAAGTAATGTTATCAAACAAATGATTCAAAAAATTAAAGAAAAGAACAAAAAAAAAGTGTGATTTGTTACAAGTAATAAATTTAGTACAATCCACTATGTAATTTCACAGATAAGTGTAAAAGATTATAATTGAAATTGTTATTTATATTTAACACTAATATTGTAATCTTACCTTGCCTTGCATTATCATTTTTACAACAAGATTTGAAGGATGACTGCGGCCTTTAGAAGGATGGCTTTCTGTCCTGACAGCACCCTCTCCCTCATCTCCGTTGGAACTCATAATGGTAGGGTCAAGACTGCAAGCAATGCAGCAGTGTTTCAACTGTCAGTWGGATATATTTTTGAGGGGAAATATAGAGATCTTTTAGCAAGATGGCCGGGTTGTGGATAACATAAGGTGTAAAGTTTCAATCATGTGCAAATTTGTGGCTCTGCAGCAAACTAATTATTAATGCTCGCAATCTATCTTGTTATCTAGCGTGATAAGAGGATAAAAGTTGGCGGACACCACTAACCTCAAACTGACAATAAAAAAGTTCTATTGCTGATCAAGTTTTTTTTCACTAATAATGATCCACACGGAAATAAACAAAACATTGTGAGAGCGCGCGAACCATCTAAAAATGAACAAAGCAACAGACAGATGTAGACACTATCAAACTTCACTAATAATAGCCTGGAATTACCATAATCACATGAAATATGTGGATATATCGAAATGGCTAATGGCGTTATAATCATTTCGAATAAARGGATAGACGATGAAAGATTCTAGAACGATGTATCAAAGGAAACCCCTAAATGTTTTTGCTTGCTAGGACCAAAATACATAGATATCAGGTTTCATATGAAGTCTGCAAAGCTCCAAGTTGACGTCTCGCAGACAATGGATTGTTTCTCTAAAGCAAAAACAACATTTACACAATCTAAGCAAATGCTAATTCCCTTGCCTGTGCTACGAAACAACGAGGTGTTGATTTCCAACAATAATCACCAAGTAACCAACCCAGGGAAAGAAAATGTATGACAGGCAAGTTATCTCCATTTACGATAAACATTTTTCGTCTGTCCGTTGATTTCACACAAAACCGTTTAATATTTCAAGAATTAACACTGTTTTTCAGGTCAAACCGTTACAAATATTGCATTCCACTTATTAACCTGTTTAACAGCCAACAGCCGTAAAATCACTGATATCACAAACAACTCCAGCCGCTGTTTTTTTCGGCGCGGCTAATTATATCTTTCTCCCTCTCTTTCTTATACTTATAATACGACTTAAGTAACACAGATCGACACTAAACAAAATAAACCTAGTTTAGCAGCCATTAAACGGATATCTTTAAAAGTGTTAGGATGATATAAAATAACCTGTAACAAGTTGAACGTGTACCTACCGGATCACGGCTTTTTCCAAGATAACAAAAAACTCACGAGGAACCAAACACGAAGGAGAGATCGCAAGATTTTAGTGATTCAACAAATTTTAAGGGAGAAAATCAAGTCAGGGGGGAACTAAAACAGGAAAAGAGGGCTGAAAGGTTAGGGAAAAGGCTTAAAGCCAAACCAAGTCAATAATCAAGTCAATCCGAAAAATATTTTCTGCAACGAGTGTGAGATAAACAATCTTGCCACATGTTGGCGTGTCTGATTGGATAAAATCAGACACGTGACTCCACAGGGAGACATRTCGACTGATCGACTTTAGTTTTGTTTTGACGTAAAAATCACAAATAAAATTAATTAAAATTRGTTCAGTTCAACACTTCGTTCTTGATGAAAGTCAATAACAAKCTATATGTGAACTTAAAACAGTGGGACTGAGATGTAAAAAAAARRAMRARRARRARRARRAAAAAAAAACAACCCCGAGAGAACTGGATTACCTCTGCCATTTTATGAAACAGGAAGACCATAAAAAGCCCGCGTTTTGTAGGAATGACACTGATTTGTTTCTMTTGTTGAAAATGGCCGATGAAATAGAATCAAATGGAATACCCGATAAAMGAGTTACAAGTAAGTTGAGTTAAGTTSTTAAGAGAGTAGGTAAATCCTTGCGTTGGTAGCAAAGTTCCAAATGATTTCAATAWGATGCTCTACGCAAGTTTACCAGGATGCAAGCAAGTCGGCTTGTCATGCATTTAAAAGATGAGATTTTATCGTTGTACTTGATAATATTAATTATCCAATACACCAAGAAAAACATTAGATAAGATGGTGGCGGTATGGCGAAGACAGAATATTTAGAATGTACCAGTAACTAGACGCTCTTAGTTACTAAGCTCGTGGAAGCTAGAGCGCTTACTTGGGCTTCGTCCTAGAGCAGTCACTTGGTAAATGATGTCACATGCCGTGAMTASTACACGWCTATAATTTGATCATCCATTGATTGACATTGAGTCAAAATAAGAGAAGTAGCATGTAATATTCTCACGGTCGTGAAATCATGTTTGTTTGCATAAGTTTGATTACAAAAAAATCATTTTTTTCCATGGTGRCGTGATGGGTGATTGACAGGATACATCAGTAYRATCAYGGATATGTCAGGTGGAGTTTGCTTGCCCTAGTTTGAATTGCATCTACTTTCTTGTCTTCCATGTGACAGGATCTGCAGTTAAAGGGACAAGTAAGAAACCAACAACAAAAGAACAAAGACGTCCAGCAACAAGAAGCACTAAAAAAGCAACAAATCAACAGAATAACCAGAAAAATGGTATTGATACAGTTGAATGTGCTTCTGTGCTATTKAAATCACAAACAGAGGACTTTTATCAAGGCAATTTGAAATGAGGCTATAAGTGTATACCATTGTACAGAATGAAAAAAGTAACTCTAATATTTTGTTTCATCACATTGTCAATAAAAGGTTTTTACTGGTTTGTGATGTTTTGTGTTTATATGTGAATGCAAAGAGCACAACTATAAACTGCAAGTATTGTTATTTGTAGGTTCAAAGAAGTCAATAAAGACAAAATCTAAAAGGCCAGTCAGCAGGAGACTCATACAAGATGATAACAATAATAACATAGCTGATTCTGATGACAGTGATGAACCTGATGATGATAATGATTCTGATTATGATGTTGATGAAGAAGAGGATGATGAGGAAGAAATCAATTCTGACGATCATGAAAGTGATGAGTATAGTGGTGAAGAGATGATCACCCCATTAGGTAAATATAAAAAAAACCTTGCAATCAAGACTTATACAATGTTTATTAAAAAATAAAAATAGTTTATATTTTATATCTCAGGCAGTTTCTTTAGTTAGAGTACTGGTTTTATAATCAACTACTAAATAAGTGGCAAGTCAACAATAAGAAAAAAGGAATTAGCATATATAGAGCTATTTTGTRAAGTACTGGCATAGCATATAGAAGCAATCAACTCTTGACTATGCACTTCTTGCTCTCTTTCAGCATTGACTGACAACGTTGGTGTCGCAGGGGAAGATGTTTTTGGTTTTCAAACACCAAGAGGAATTTCTGGCAGGTCTCTTGCTCAAGCAGGTACACAGTAGTGTAAAATAATGATATCAGTCTTGCTGCCTTGGARACTGATGGAAAAAACGGCTCTCTGTCTGGTCTGAAACACCAGCAGCGAAAAGAAACACAAAGAAAATCCTGACAGSAGAACTGCATCAGACTTCATGATAAAATATTTGAGGTGTATTTTGAGTTCTTTCTGTTTTAATTTAAGGCTTTTCTGCTTTCTCTTCATAACTTTGTCATGCATAGTTAGCTTGTCATGCTATGAAATCACCAAGCTGGCTGTGAYTGATTTTCAACATACTATTGAATTACCACATTATCACMACAGGACAAATTATAAAAGATGTCTGCAATATTTCTTTATAATCATGACTTATGTTTAGCTTCAAAGGCAATCCACACTAAGAAAAGTCTGTCGTCAAATAAATATACCAAGAAAACCCCAGGGAGAAAGAGAGAACAAGGTATGAGCCAGAAAGGTCAATCTCAAGGAGGGGTTGGATAGAGTATTTGAAAAAATCTACTTAATTTCTAAATGTTAAAGTAATTTTGGTTTTTTAGAGAGACTTGAACAAAATAAAGAAGAAAGTCAGCAAAAGGTARTACAAATCAATGTGTTGCTATGATCAATACACTTTTGCTACTTGTATAAAACAGACTTTGGCTAATAATATAAATTGTTATTTGTTTCTGAAAAGAAACCTAGAAAAGCTATCAAGACATCTGACAAGAGCCAAGCACCACATGCTACAAGACGTCAAGTTGTACTACAGTGTAAGTTTCTCTTGACTTCTATACYCTGCTGGAGGACAAAAACCAGAAGAAAACTACTATTAACATTTATAATCAATAACTCAATTATTRATGCAGCTCCAGTGGACTCGGATGATGGGTCTAACAGTGAACACTCGTGTGAAAGTGATGCTAGTGGTTTTGAAAACGAAGATGATTCAGCAGCAAAGTAAGTAGAACCACCTTATTAATCATACCTAAGATTTGCAGAGAATGAAGATGATACATAGTGTATTTGATTCAATATAACATTGTGCACCATTCATAATGATCTCTATGAAAATACCATATAGCAACTTGATTTTTGCAGCTAACCTGTGTCATATTTGATAAATGCAGGAATTATAAGCAGGTTATTGCAGATTTACCAGAAGACTCTGTAAGTATTATTTTATGAGGCTTTTGTAAAAATCTTGATTAAGAAAGGCTGAAATTTAGGTTTTAGGTTTAGTKCTTATGACAGGCTCTAATAAAGTAAAATAAAATGCATTTGCAAAAGTTGATGTGACATCATCACTATAAGTCTATGATTGTACCCCCCCTCCCCCCCCAACTTTGGCTCCACTGCCCCTGTTAACAAATTTGGTTTATTCATTTAGAGAAGTATGGTAGAAGAATACTTTGCAGTTCACCATGACTCCAARTGTTTGACGTCTGACAGGACACTAGCTAGTCTTGCTACGCCATTAATGGATCATGAGGTACAAAACCAACATTCCATGGCAGTATATTCAAGCATAACCATCTAAAAATGACAAATTATGGGATTGCAATTGGTTTGCCTGATGTTATATGTTCCTTATTTCTAGGAAGTTTCTAAACATCTTAAGCAAGTCTCTGCTACTCATCCTAAAGAAAGCTTACAATTCTATACTGATTACAGAAAATATTTTGCAAAGTGGATGTTCCAAATAAGGTACAAACTTAGTTCCAGTTGTGATACTTATCTTATTTCCAGTGAGTTCACATTGTTAGTGTGAAGTATCAGTAAGTTTTCAAGGCAATTATTATTACMAGCCTTTCTACAAAGGAGATTAGTCTTTCATATACAGTTAACTCTCTTTGAACAACCACTCTCATAAGCAACCATCTCCCGTAAGCAACCACCTTTTAAATTTCCCGTTATAATTGTTTCCATAAAAAACTCTGTAAAAATACTTTCTAGGAAGCGACCATCTCTTGTAAGTGACCACTTTTTCTTGATCCCGAGGTGGTCGCTTACAAGAGAGTTGACTGTACATGGTGTATCTAACTATACAGTATAMCTGAATTGTATTGTCTTTTATTTTATTTAAGGCATGGTTTCAATCTTATGCTATATGGTTTAGGCTCTAAACGAGTTCTAATAGACCAGTTTAGATCATCAATGTTGCAAGGCTACACACATCTGGTCGTAAATGGATACTTTCCAAGTATAACAATAAAAAATGTAAGATACTTACTACAAGTCACAGAATAATAAAGAAACATTTTGTAAACTAATTATGAATATTCTAGATTCTTGTATAATTAGCTCCATTACTTCAGAGAAAAAAAGAACAAATGTTATTGATATAATTATTATATGATTCTTTGCTGGTCAACTGCTTTAATACCAGACACGTTATTGATGATTTACCAGATTTTAAACATGATAACAGAGGATGTACTGGGTTATAATGGATCATTTAAAAGCATCATTGACCAAACAACTTTTATACAAGAAACATACAAAAAGGGAAAAGGTACAATGATAATCCAAATGCTTTTCTTTTAATATTGTAACCAAGTTGCACTCTAATTGACCTTAATCCTGGCATTCCTGTTCACATTGTTTCTGTTTTATACAACTACATTTTTTTAGAGTTTGTTTTTTAGAGTTTGATTTCCTTTGGTTTTGTTTGTAGCTTCAGGGGAACTCTATCTGATTATTCATAACATTGAAGGAACAATGCTTCGCTCCAAAAAGGTTAGTCAAGTGTAGCTATAATTATTTCTGTATTTTGACTTACTTATTGCAGTACAATAATTACATTCTTTTATATTTTTTTCTAGGCTCAAACAGTTCTAAGTCTTCTTGCTGAGATACCYTTTGTACATGTCATTGCAAGTATTGATCACATCAATGCACCATTAGGTAATGAKAATGGGTAGCCTGTGTTTTTKAGCACACAGGGATCCCAATCTAATCTATTACTGTTTGAGTATTTGAAAGACTTTTCTAATGAATGTAGTGTGATTTCTTTTGGAAGTTCTTTTAAGYGAGAAATATTGTTATTGCATGCATTTGTCTTGTTTAATAAAGTGATTCAAAAATAKTTTAAACAGATTGAACATCATGAATTTTGAAAGTCTTAGGAGTGAAAATGTATGTAACAGTGAGGTTTTTTTTAGTTTGGGACCAATGCATGTGTAGTCGGTTCAAGTTTCTATGGTATGATGTTACCACATTTGAGCCATAYACAGAAGAGACTTCTTATGAGAACTCCCTGATGGTACAACAATCTGGCTCTTTRGCACTGAGCTCTATGAATCATGTCATGAGGAGTTTGACTATCAATGGACAGAGTATCTTTCTTCTTATTGTTAACAATCAACTTCAAGAAAAGGACAACTCTTCTTACATAGGTATTTCATATCTTAACAATGATCATGAATATTTTCATTGATAATGTTATCATTGTTGTTGTTATGATGATATCTGATGATCATGTACTGGTAATGATGTTAGACATTGATATGGTAAACCTATAATTGTCATCTTTTTATTGTCATTCAATTTCAAGGATACAGCATCACAGAYCTGTATTATAAGTGCAGGGAGAAGTTCTTTGTGAATAGTGAGCAGACATTACGTGCACAGCTTACTGAATTCAGAGATCATAAACTTATTCGATCAAAAAAGGTGATAAGTTTTAAAGACATTCTTTTTCACTCCTTTATAACTATAATATTACTTATTCATAATGCCTTCTTCTTACAGGGGGCAGACGGTGTTGAACATCTAATAATACCACTGGATGCATCAACATTACAACAATTCTTAGAAGAACARCAAAGTACTAAATAATACTTTGACTTTATAGTCTAATATAATACTGACATCAATTTAATGAGTAGAAAACAGTGTATTCAGATTGTTGCTATTCACATGTGTAAAATATTATTTTTTCATTAAACAGATCATTATATTTTAAATGTCTTCTAAGACTATGTACAGATTTCTGAAGATTAAAGATATATTTTTCTGAGTATGTATGTAAAAATCAAAGATTATTGATATTTTGATTCCTAATTGATATTGATATTTACCAGCCTTGAACTATAGTTTACTTTTAAAGTCTGCCTGATAACCTGAATAAAAAAGAACAGTTGTTAGTAACATTACTGAAACATAAATAACAATTGTGTAATAGCAAAAAAAATGTATATAAATACCTTCTACATCAGTGTAGTATACTAAGCTTGATGCTCCATCAATCTTGATAGTTGCCCCTGTGATATATGATGCTGCAGGGGACAACAGGAAACAAACAGCACCTGAGACCTAAACAAAAATGGTACAAAATGATCAGTATGTATTCATTAAAAAGCAATGATCATCATAACTAATATAGTAATCCCAAAGATAATTTAGGCGGTTAGATTACAAACCTCTTCAGGAGTTCCACATCTTTTATAAGGTAGACGTTCTTTTATTCTTGAAAATATGTCTATATCATAATTTTCAGCAGCCGTTGGAGAATAGATAATTCCCTATAATACATGGATTATTATTCATTTGAGAACATTGATTACAATTGCAAGACAATTCAGAAAATGTAACAAATCTCTCTTTTCTGGAAGTTTTATCACAGTCAGACTAGGATAGGCTAGAATGGGATATCAAAGTTTCTTTACACCTACCGGAGCAACATTATTAATTCTAACTCCACTGTGCATCCATTCCATTGCTAAAGTCATTGTTAAATTATGGATGCCTGCTCGGGCTGCCCCTGAATGCCTGATAAAGAAAAACAAACCCTGATAATTTCATTTCATTTTGGAGGTAAAGTCTCAAATTAATACAGTTGTATTTAAGTTTCATTGTTATGTGACCTAAACTTAGCAAGGCTGCATGGGCAGACTAGGTTTGGTACCTTGGGCACAAGAAAATTATAATTGTGTTGAATATAAGACTTACGCCATCATTGGGAAGCCTGTCCAATTRTCAACCAACATGTTCACAATTGCACCACCATGATCATTCATCCACAAGTTATATGCTACATAATAAAAGAATAGAAAACATTATTCAATTACGATTCCAGGCATTATTCTCACACCCATTCCTGGCTTGAAATTAGAAAATCAAAATTATTATTTATTTGCCAAAAATATTCTGCATATATTATGGCTGGCTACATAAAAGCCGTCACTGATGTAAACTAGATAATAACCTTGTTTGCAGCATAAAAACGTCCCATTTAAATTAGTGTCGATAACAGCCCTCCATCCTTTTGCTGACATTGCTGCAGCTGGTGAATGAAACTGACCACCTCCATTATTGACCAAGAAATCAATCTTGCCRTAGTGTGAAATTGTAGATTTCATCAAGTTAGTCACCTGTAATCAGATAAATTGACTAGTTCATTTCTACCACAGGTAGCCCAAATTATGTAAATAATCATTTTATAATCATGATATTATTAATATGATATGTTGTTGGACTGTTTGACTTGCTATTTTGGGCAAATTATGAATGCAAAGTATGCACGGACCTGTTCTTCGTCTCTGATGTTGCAAGGTATGACTTTCACGGAGCAGGGGTTGCCAGGTTCCATAGACTTCATTAACTCTTGTGCAGCTTTCTGTAACTTTTCTTCATTTCTTGACGCTATAACTACTTTACTTCCTAAGCTAAGAAGCTCAGAAACTATGGCTTTTCCTATGCCGGTTCCTCCTCCAGTAACAATTGCTACTTTTCCTTCAAATAATCCTTTACGAAAAACACTGCTAACAGCCGCCATCTTTAAGCACACTCAAATGGGGGGCCCGTAGAGCTAGTGAATGAATGGCCCTCAACTGAGCACTGTCGAGAAATACGACGGTACAAATTGGTAATTTATCAAAAAAGACGTGATGGTGCGGTGGTTTTTATTACTGCAATAGATCTTTCGTTTAGTTAAAGTAGTTGAACAGTTAATTAATTTGAAGGATATATATCTTCAAAGGATCAACGCAGTACTTACTTACAATGGCTACCTAATTAATATTCAACATACACAATTGCTTTAMAGATAATGTTATGCATCATGTTGGAACATGATTATCATTGGGCTACAAGTATAAGTGCTTCCTTATTAAATCGAGAAAAGTGTGTTTAAGGAAGAATTACAGGAGAAGTTCTTTCATTTACAGTATAAGGATTGAGTCATCGATCATGTAGAGTTTCAAGAATTTCGAAGTCTTAAACTTAACCTGAAGAATCGATAAAATGGCAGAAAACGTCAAGGTCGCCGTCCGTGTTCGACCTTTCATATCCTTTGAATTGTCTATTTCTATAACTTTCATTCTCACTATAAGAAACTATGGTATTATAATACTAGTATTCAAAGTATCTAAATCACAGGAATAGTGATATTGTTGGCAAAAATCTTTATGTTTTGATTTGTGTTTTCCTCTTGTCAATTGTTTATCGTGGTTCCTTGGGCAACCAAGTACACAATTAAACTTACAATACTTTTCGCTTATCATGAATTTATAGGACAAAATTATTTAGATAACAAAATTATCTCGATTATTGAGTTGCATAAAGTGTTCTTCAACTATAGGGTTGTCGTGTCTGTCGTGTTTTCTTGTTCAAATACACTGTTCCACGGGTGCGAAAAGCAAACTATGTTCCATTATCTTGTCATGGAGTGGTGTGTTGATGCTGTTGGACACTTACCAACAGGCAATAAATTTGAATATTTAATACTGCAGTATGTACAATATGGTATTTCATGAAATTAATGGTAAATCTGACAGGCACATGTCAAGACAGCTTCTGTTTATTGCTTGCTCTGGAAGAAAGACTTAGAGTCTGAATGTTATCAAGGTTTCATGTGAGAAAGGAAGCACTTAAAACATTAAGGCTGTTTGACAGTTCCTGACATTAGAGATAGAAACATGGGTGTGCTTATAGGGTGATGTACATCCTGAGCTAATTAGGTAACTGAGGTAACACATCCTCCCCGTGCACAAACAAGACTAGTGTTGTAAAGTACCAGTGTTCTTTATCTACTCTTCATAGGGTGATTTCCTTAACAATTATTACAACAGTCGTGAAAAGGCACGCAATGCCACCCTTATTATTAACATGCTTGGAAACAGTACAGAAATTATGGATCCATCTATGCCTGAAGCAGAACCAAAGAAATTTGCTTTTGACTTTAGCTACTGGTCACATGACGGCTTTGAAGAGGATGACAAAGGCTACCTTAATCCCACTGAATCAAGATATGCTGACCAGGTAAGAGGTGTTTTGTGCTAAAAATATCGTAGTAAGACAGGTCAGCTGTGCCTTACTAACGCCATGTTTTGTAAAAGGACAAAGTGTTCAAAGACCTTGGCCAAGGTGTTTTGGATAATGCATGGAAAGGATTCAATTGCTCTCTGTTTGCATATGGCCAGACAGGATCTGGAAAATCCTATTCTATGGTTGGATATGGGGCAAACAAAGGTACATGTTGCTTCCTTTATTTGTTTGTCTGTTCATGCAGAGGTCTTTGTGTGTAGTTGTATTGATGTGCTAAGTAGAGTAAGAGTACTTCTTGGTTTCATCATCAGGCATTATCCCTATCTTCTGTGATACACTTTTCAAAGAAATAAATGAAAAGAAGAACGAAGGAAGCAAAGCTGAATTCCAGGTAATCATCATTCCAGTAAATGTGCTGCAGTTCATGGTCTGTCACTATACCAACTATGTACAAAAATGTACAGTTAATCATCAATAGTCATGGTCAGGAGATTTATTGTGTGTCTTTTGATATCAGGTTGCACTCAGTATGCTGGAAATCTACAATGAACAGGTACATTATGCGTGATATCATTATAATAACTTGACATACAAGATTAGATTATAAGTTATTGTCATTTTTTGTGATTAGGTCCGTGATCTGTTAAATCCAGGAAGTGCTAAAAAGGGAGGCTTGAAAGTCAGACAACATCCCAACAAGGGATTTTATGGTAAGGCTATCATCCTGATGAAATGATTTTAACAGCAACCATAGAGTATATTATGTCATTTTCCATTCTGGTTCTACTTGTAATGGCTTTACCTGTTTTTCACCAGTTGAGAGTCTTGTCACTGTACCAGTAAAGAGTTATGCTGACATTGATAACCGTATTGAAGAGGGAACTAAAAGTAGAACAGTAGCAGCAACAAACATGAATGCGACAAGCAGGTACAACTGCACCATTGAAGCAGTTTTCTGACAATCTGCAATACAGTCTTATATTGTTGACTTTATTTTCAGTCGTGCCCATACCATAGTTGCCATCAACTTTATTCAAAAAGCCAAAAATGAAGCTGGCCAAAACATGACAAAGACATCTATTGTGAACCTTGTGGATTTGGCAGGAAGGTGAGCTACCATATTGCAATATATTCTTGAAAGTATTTGGTAGAATAATCAAAAATGTAAAAATATCCACCTATAGTGAACGTGCTGAGTCTACTGGAGCAACAGGAGACCGACTGAAGGAAGGTTCAGCCATAAACCAATCTTTATCAATGCTTGGAAACTGTATAAAAGGTGAGTTTGTATAATTTTTACTTTTACATGCGTGACACACATAAATGTAAAGTAGTAAATTAGATATTACTCTTGATTAATCAGGAAATAAATATTTTATTCACAAATTCTAACAAACTGCATTAGAACAGTAGGGTTATAGATTGGATGTGGTTACATGCATTAGGTAACACAGACCACACATCGAAGATTCTCAAAAACTATTACTACTAACACATTCATTTTTTTAATAGCTCTTGCTGATCAAAGTAGTGGCAAGAAGAATATCATTGGTATACAATTTATGCATTCTTAAACCAGATGAATTGAATCAACAATATTTGTTATAATAAATTGACACATCATTCCTTATTGCTGTTTGTTTAGTACCATTTCGTGACTCTGTTTTGACAAAGTTGCTTAAAAATGCACTGGGAGGGAACAGCAAGACCATCATGGTAAACTATGTGACATTCACTGGTTGATTTCAAAATAATATTTTAACTATAAACTTTATCTAAATATCTAAACAACAATTTTTATACAGATTGCTGCTCTTAGTCCAGCTGATATCAATTATGATGAAACTCTCTCTACTTTGAGATTTGGTAAGGACCTTTTACCAACAAATATTTTTTTATTGGCCCAATAAAATTGATTAAGTTATCCCTGTGGTATTAAGTTGTATACTTTGACGTACTATATCTTTCAGCTGATAGAGCCAARGCCATTAAAACAACAGCCATCGTGAATGAGAGCCCAACTGATAAACTCATTCGTGAACTAAGAGAGGAGAATGCACGTTTATTAGACCAACTAAAGAAGGGAGGTGTAGTGATAGTACAGGGAGAAGAACAAGGACAGCAAGTGCCTGGAGGAGCAACAGATGAAGGTAGTTTTCTTCAAATCATTCATTTTCTTAATGCAGATTGCAGATTGCATTTTGAACATGAAACTAACATGCCTGAGAAAACACTCAGGTGTATTTACTCCTTTATTATAAATATTGTATAGCTTTTGTTATGATTAAATTATATTGTCTTACATTTTAACCATGTTGAAGTGTTAACTAACAATAATTTGTTAATATTTGTATTTCAGAGGTTGATGAGATGAAGAAGGAAATGGAGGAACGGGTAACCATTTTGTTTTCTTTTATTTGTTTGTTCTGTTCTTCCTTTGATCCCTGCCTTTCTTTATCTTCTTCTTTAACTCTTCCCTTGACAGAATGTCTAGTGCTTTGTGTTGTGTTGTGGTTATTAGTTGTTTTTCGAAAGAATTCTATCGTGATGTGACATAATGTACATGTTTTATTTATTATTATTAAATAGCTGAAACGAAATCAAGAGGAAATGGAACAAATGAAAAAGTCATGGCAAGAACGACTTCAAGAAACTGAAGCTGCATACAAAGTATGTTTGTCAATCATTCATACAATGTAGAATAGTCTGTCTTGATGATGAATGAACATTACAACATTTTCTTTAACAGGCAAAGGAAGAAGCAGAAAAGAAAGAGAAAGAGATGCGTAAAACTACTCCACACTTCTGGAACTTAAATGAAGATCCTCAGCTCTCTAATATGATTGTCCATTTTATCAAGCCTGGTAGGTTGACCATGTTGTCAAACAAACCCTGTTGAAACATCTTTATTTTGTCTAATAAGTAATTCCAGCAAGAGTTTATTCTGCTCTCTGTATTATAGGAKCTCAAAAAGTTGGAAATCGGAAAGCTGACCCTCCTGCACAGATTACATTAAGTGGTTTAAGGTGGGCACACTATTTTGAAGTGTTTTCAGRTWCAGTTTATTTATGCTTTTGCTAACACAACATGCTTTCTTCAGTATACTGCCTGACCATGCAAGTATTGCATGTGAAGGAAATAGCATCAAGATTCAACCGTCTCAAGATGCAAAACTTTTGGTCAATGGAAAACCTTGCAATGATTCAATTGAATTGCACCATAATGACAGGTAACAGACACTATCAATTATAGTTTCATTTTATTATTGCAATGGTTATGTCCGTATCTCTTGAATTATTTTCAAACTAATCTCTTGAAAAAGCAAGAAATGTACAAGGTGTGATATAAATTGTCATGRCATTGACTCATTGCTTACTGTACTTTTCATTCCAGAATAATGTTTGGATCAAGCAATCTGTTTGTCTTGCACCACCCAGTTGAGCTTGACAAAGCCACAAAAAATGGTGAAGTGATAGACAAAGTAACTTTTGATATGGCACAGGAGGAAATTGCACAAAATTCTGGGTTCAACATGGACAAAACTGGTGGCAAATCTAAAGGTTTGTTTCAAAAGATACAAAGTGATGTTATTGGACATCTGCAGTAGGACAAAGTGTTATATCTTTGAAGGTCTTCTGTTACTTGAATATTAGCATAGCAAAATGTAAAGTGTGCTAATTGTGTCCATGTTGCAGATGAATTGCTGYTGCAAGATGACCTTGTTCAACTAGTTCCAATGGTGAATGAAGCAAATGCTATGGCAGAAGAACTTAGCAAAAAGGTAATCATTKCTACACTATTGTTTTAGTAAAATTCTTCCACATCACTATCTCCTTCTATATTTACATGATGATATTTCCTGATTTCTCCAAGGTTAAGTTTGAATTGATGCTTATTTCCCCTCAAGCACGCGGATTAAAGGAAGGAAGGACAGAGGTCAGAATAATTCTGTTAAGAACTGATTTTTAATTGTAAAAATGTTAGTTTTAACATGTTTTAGTTGAAAAGATAAATTAGCTGCTTCATTTGGTTTGACGTCAGGTTAAAGTTAAAATGAAAAGCAAAGAAGATGATTCAGAGTGGGTCTGGGACAGAAACAAGTTCTTCAACCGCAAGTATCTCATGCAGGAAATGTACCAAAACTATGTTGAAGGTGAAGAATGGGAAAGAAGCCAGGTGATAAAAAATACAATGTACCTCACTGAGTCTTTAGTTGCAGTACAGTCATGCTTTGTGTTTATTTGACAATTGACTGAAGTTAAATTCTCTTCTTTATTTGTTAATAGGATAATGATCCATTTTGGGAGCCTGATGATTCTGATGTCATGATTGGTAGTGTGCAGGTGTACTTGCAGAGTTTGGCATACAAAGTATGTACTACATATCACTTAACTCATCATGTTCAATTCTATTTTGGGCCATCAACTATAAAATCAGTCCAGTTATTTATTTTTGGCTTCCATTCATTTGGTTTTACTTATTTTATCACTTAGATTGAATTAGAGGAAAATCTAGCTATTACAGATCATCGTGGCACAGAAATGGGTCACTTACAGGTATTAACATATAGTAAAAAAGATGACGGGTGATATTATTGAGCTAAGATTGTGCCTTTTAATAGGTTGAGATATTTCCCTGTGATGGTCAAGGTAATGAAGACATTGATGACTTTGTTGAAGATCCGAAAGATTTGGTGAGTTGAATGTGTTAGCAACAACGTTAAACGGTGTTGTACTCTGACGTCATAGCCTGATCAAGTTGTAATGTGTTAAGTCTTTAAAACAACTTTTTATAGATTGGCAAAGAATTGATATTTAATCTCAAGATACCGGCTGCCAGAGGGCTTCCCCAGCGCTTTTCAAAGGTACAATATATATGATTTACTGCAGGATATTGAACACATGGAACAAAATTTATTTCGTGATAACGAATTTTTCAAAAGGTTGTTGTTGTTGTTGTTGTTGTTGTTGTTCTATCACTTTGTTATCTATTTTGCGGTTTTCATACTTCAGACAAATTTAAATTATTATTCTATGAATTTATTCCTTATGACAATCGCATGGACATTAATATTAGCATTTGATTTTCAGGGCAAGACGTTCTGCAGTTACAAGTTATATTTAGATAAAACACCGTCTGCGACACAGACAATATCGAATACCATCAACCCTAACTTTAGTTACTCAAAGCGGTTTACATTTTCACCGGTTACAAAACAGGTAAGAAAACCTTTTCGTTATACAAAAAAGCATATACTGATAATTAATCACCTTCTATAGTTTCTTGACTATCTCTTGAATCAACCGCTGGTTATCGAGGTGTGGGGTAAGCAAGCTTCACGAAAAGTCAGTACAACAGTGGCACAGAAGAGTAGCACTGCAAGTAAACCCGAAATACCTCAGAATAACGCACCAGCAAATGGAGAATTGCCTCGCACAAAATCGTTGGTAAGATTGTTAGAAATAGTAGAGAGATTCATAATTTCAAGGTCAATTAGTTTCATAGAAATTAACTATTATTCTCGTTATGTAAGTAAGGAATTTAGTATATTTAACGGGAATCAAAGCTAAAATGTTCTGGTAATGTGCAAACACTTTTTTGTAACACTGCAAGTGCCGCCTTGGAAAGATCCCCATCTTATCAAATCTTGATAATGGGTTTAATTTTTGATCTTTTTGGTATAATATATACCAAAATTATTCACTTAAGTTTCCTTTCTATTAGGAGTATTCAATATATCCATTATTTATTATTTTAACCACAGACAAATGATGATCGCATGCGGGGTCTGCAATTGACAAAATCCATACGACGTGCTGATCGTTCGGACAAAAAGCTTGTAAGTACCGTACCATGTAGTTGCACCAATAGATAGCTGGTATATTCAAGGGCGGATCCAGGGAGGGGCAAATGGGGGCTGTAGCCCTCCTCTGAGCAGAAAAAGTAAATTGATTTTTATTATTTTCAATGTTGTTTATAACAAATAAAGCCCATTTAGACCCCTAAAACCATATAGCCCCCCCTTAAAATTTCAGCTGGATCSGCCCTTGATATTACCCGCAAAGCAAGGTAGTCCCACTAGAGGATTGCCATATATCATACAGAGGTCTTTAATAGAGTTGGTACTTTTTACAGAAAAAGATTCGAGAGTTGGTAGAAGAAGCCAAAAAGAATAATTCAACAACTTTACAGGTAAGCAAAACCATACCAGGAACAACAATACCATTGCCTACCAACTTCGTATTCTGTTATTTTCAGTTTTATTTTCATAGCACAAGCCGACTGTCATCTTTGTTTCAGGTTTCAATGATTGAAGACATTCTTAATGGTGGCGAAGGAGACAAATTCAAAGCTACTGCTAGTGTCGTTATAAAGACAAACAAGGCTGCTGCAGATGGTGATGGGAAGATCACCAGTTCYGCTTGTGTTGTTCAATAATGTCGTTCGTCCTTGGCACTCCTTAGTAATCAATAGTGTACGAAAACAGGCGCGTAGCGTGGACTTTTTAGCTAGTACGCAYATGTCAGGGACCGCGACACATATTTTGGATTTGGCGACCGCGGGCATCGAGAGCATATAAAAGGCATCAAATCCCGAAAATTTTAATATTTCCTTTCCGCTAGTACGCACGTGCGTATACATGTATATGARTAAAGGACGCTACGCGCCTGTACAATCAGTTAGTACAGCTGTTTCGACAGAAACTACCACCTCAATTGTTTAGGACTTAAATCTTTTGTACAGTGTAATTTAAGGATTTTTTACCAGTCCAAGTCGACAATTTAAAATATATGTAATGTATTGGTTTAATGAATATTGACATTCTTCGAGAAATAATCAAAKACGTGTTTTGTCTTGAAGGCTCATTTTTATCAGTGAAAATAACCTGAGGAAATGTAAATAGTAAAGGCAGCAGAACAAAAGGTTTTTATTTTGCTTACCTTGACCGCTCCATTATTATATATGCATTCGCTAATTTTCAGACACGCCCGTAAGTCAACGGCGAAGAACCCCTTATCACGTACTTCACTAGAGGAAAATGAGATTTTAGGTATTTGGTCATGACGGAGTAGTCACATGAGTGAACATTTAATCCAATCAAACTCTATTTATACATAATCTAGAGCACATACCAGTTGATCTGGAGTTGTAACTGTGCAGAGCACATGCATATTTAAAGAATTGCAATAAATGTGAAAATCGATTCCTGTTATTATTTTAAATTAGCAGCCTTGTTCTTGTTGCGTTCTTGCTGTGACGTCGAGCAGACAATCTCCCATGAAACTTTAACTCTTTTTGACCAGGTTAAATCACTAAAAATTGTCGGCTAGGGCTACCTGTTACCTCTCCCTGTGCCGTAGCCCGAACAAGCGCTTTTAGAGTTTAAAATTTATGTGTATTATACTGCCCATTATATCTATATCGCAATTTTTAAAGAAGATTTTAGTCTTGTAAGRAGTTGTGATATTTTGTCGTTATCGAAAGATAAGAGGTCAATTATGTCCCTTATTGCAGTTGGAACCATGTAGATGTAGATGTTGATGTAGAAGCCCCTTATTTAAGCTCCTCATAAGGGTTCAGTGAACAGAAAAGTTTTGGTGTCCGGCGAAAATTTAGRTCTTGGTATTCAGTTACTAAATGACGCCAATTTTAAAAGTCATAATACATTCTTGTAAGATCGAAATTGAAAGCATCCGTGTATAAAACGCACATGGTAAATGCAGCCAGAGATCAATGAAATGATACAGCTCTGCAGTGTAGCCACATGTAATGTGATCCCTTTTCTATCAAAGGTCATTGCACTGATGGAAGGTCAAGGATGCGTTACTACATGAATTTTCTCGTAAAAAAACTTTTTGTGAGAAACATTGCGGCTGTAACACAGGCTACCTTTATAAAAAAGGCAGTTTTCCATCTTTTTACGAAGTATAATTTATCCATTTCACAGCAACAAAGTCAAGGTAATGTAAAGTCTCTGCCAGAATGATATGTTGGATTCCCTGTGGAGTCACGAAAGCGAGGCTCTTTCTCACGTGTAGTGCGGTGTTTCGCGCCAAGAACATGTAAGTGCGAAGCAGAAGATAAATCTACCTTTTTCTTCCTTGAAAATGAACAAAACACTAAAGGAGTGTTATGAAGTCCTTGGAGTTGGCCTAGAAGCCACGTCAGGTATGAAAATTTTATCGGTAATGAAATGAAGCTTGGATTTTTAGGTTGACAACGAATTGATTACAGTTGACATCTTTGTCGAGCGGATAGACGGAAGCTAAGAATTCAAATTTTCCCAGCAATAAGATCTCACTTTGTAAATTTAACTGCGTATTTTATTAATTCCACCCTTGTCTAAAGGAAGACCCTTGTCTTTCAACTTAAGTTATCGAGTTTGTCTACTTTGTTTACATTTTACTTAATATGTAACTTAAGCTTTTGGTCGATAGTGATTCTCTCTATGACACCTTTAAAAGTTATTTTTTATTTGTAAACTTGATACCTTGGCTTTGGAAATAGTCATATATGAATTTTATGAACTCTATTCGTATAAATTCAAATGTATTTTTTATACTGTTCGGAACTGTTTAGAATATGCGCGGTTCTTGCTAACAACTCGGAATTTATCGCTGTCAAATGTTTGTGTGAAGGACAGCAACTTACAAGGGAGGAAGGGTATTAAATCCAATAGCCCAGGATAGGACARATGCGAAGACTTTAGTCTATTTTGTTCTACGTCTTCCATTTGGTGGCAGTTTTTACAGTTACTAAAATTGAAGAAGAGGGGCGATTCTTATTTTAGAGTTGAGACAATTTTCAAGACCTTTCAACATCATTCTTCATGCTGGTGGCAAGGATGTTGTGCTAAGGTGGTTCAGTATATAACATTAGATACAACATATAGGGAATGCAATAATTCTTGATTCATTATTTAGTATAATATATATCACTACATTGTAAAATTGTGTCTTATTAAACAGAAGAAATAAAGAGAGCATACAAGAATCAGGCCTTAGCTTGTCATCCAGACAAGGTCAGTGAACATTCTATGATCAGTTTTTACAGCTATTAAAAAAATTGAATTTGAATTATATGATTTTGACTTATAGAACCGTGATGACCCTGATGCAGTTCAAAAGTTTCAAGAACTTGGATATGCATACAAGAAAATTACATCTGGTATAACATAAGAAAAAAACTTATTGCATTGACAAGAGCAGACCCAAGTTATTCTCATAGATAAACAGTTATAACTACTGACAGATTCATTACACTGATTTACACAGCAAGATTTTGACTTAAGACTGTAGTGTATGATTTGCCTACAACATGTTGTATGACTAGTCATAGGATTTTGATYCTTGCCTCAAAAAAGTACTACAAGTTGTGAGTTGTGCCCATCAATCATAGACAATTTGTAAACTTACTACACAGCACAACATTGTGTAGTATACAACAAGTCATACATGACAATCACATAATTTAAATCCATCTTTTGTAATCAGAGAATAATATTTTGTATATTTTGCTTTAGATGATAAGGATGAGGAGGAAGATGATTGGGAAGATATGTTTTCTGACTTTGATTATTGGCTAGAGGTTAGCATTATCATCAYAATACAGCAAACATACTGTGTATAAATCCATTTAATGCCTTAATTCTTATAACTGAATTATATGGCAGAGAGGTCATGATGCATCCTTGATTAACATGATGTCAATTTTTGATCTGTAGTTCTTCATTTATTGTATGTATGAAGAAGGATTGATGTTTGGTGAGTTTTGAACCAATTCTTAAATTATCAACCAAAGCAATATTGACACCATTAACTAACTCACTTGTGTTAATGTACAGATGATATTGGATGCCAACACTGTTGGTAAGTTATTATTTTTTTAGTATCTATTCATTTGCTAGTAGTTATGGGGTTCATCTAACTAACAATTATTATTATTGCTTACGATGTATTTTTCCATATACAAGGACTACTTATCATGGTCATTTTCAGCCTTTTAAATTTTCTTATGCAGTAACTGTGCCCATTGTGATAGTGATGATGATGACAGTGATGAAGATGACGACGATGATGATGAAGATGAAGATTGTTGCAGGGTATGTTTCTTATCATCATCACATGCAATGATTAAATGTTGAAAGAAAAAAGTGTTCTTTAACCTTGTAAATGGTAAAACAGTTTTTTTTATAAACTGAGCTTTTCTATAATATTTTCAAAAATTGTTATAACCATTTGTAGAAACACAGACGGAAAAGAAAAGAAGAAAACTTCACAAAAGAAGAGGTATTTATGTTCACTAACATGACTGTAAGTATCAAATAATTTATTAATACGAATTGTTGTGTTTATAAAGATGGAGAGGTTTGTCAAGTTTAACTCTTTAGAAGAGCAAAGAGAATTCAACAAAAAGATCTTTTGTAATGTAAGTATAATACCAGATTATTGTCAACATCTCTAAGGATCATTTTGATATTCCSTACTGTTTGTTATTGTGTAAGATAGCATATAGGTGCACTTTCTTACCAAGATATCTTTGGTATATTCTTCAAATAATAAAATAAAATAATTATGATTATATTATAAAATAATAATGTTGATAATATTGATTGTACTTTCATTGTTAGTCCAAGCAGGCAACAAAGGAGAAAAAGAAGCAGCAAATACAAAAGGTTTGCCTTTGAAACGAGTACTTATAATATTGAATGAACATGATTTTACATGTAATAGACCATGATATCAACTGGTATAAATTTCAGCCAAAAGGRAAGTCTAACAAACAGTTAAAAGCAGAAGAGTGGAAAAGACAAAAGGTGAAACTTCTCATTTTGTGCATATGATAKTATGTCCMGTGGGCTGATGCAAAATTYAATTTCTATAGGAGATCTCTAAAATTGCAGAAGAAATTGAAATCAAGAGAAAGCAACAGGAAGAGAAACTGGAGGTATGAAATGCGCAATCTGAATGACATCTTTACATGATAAGCAATAGAAAGAACTGAACTATTGTTATTAAACAACAACTGTATCATTTCCAAAGCAATCCAGAGAATTGTCAAGCAAAAAGAAAACGAAAGTAGTGAATAGTCTAAGGTAATTTCAACATATTATAATTGGATTTAATTGCTGATTACTGTGTGTATATTGATTGTGGTGTCTTTAGTTCTATTATGCAGGATGCAATTAAAGTACCTAATAACAAACAAAGCTCATCAAATGTACACAAAGTGAAAAGCAAGAAAAAGAAAAAGAGGGTAAAGTTAACCTTTCTTGTATGAATAAGTGCAAGGTGTAGGGAGGGATTCCAATTTATCTCTGTAACTAGATGGGTTGTGCATTTCTAATCTGCTTGAATTTAGTCTGTTGTGGATTTCTACAGGGCAGAGCAAAGAATGACAGCAATGARAGCAAGGTCACTGAAGATAATACAAAGAAAATTTACCAAAAACCTCAAATACCTCAAGYTCCTGCAATAAAGAAAGGAACTGAAACAAAGATAAACCATACAAAGAAAACAAACATACCATTACCAGCCATGAAACCAAAACATACCAAAACAACATCAAGCCAGTCTAGAACAGTTGCTAAGGTCTCTTAGTGTACTATATGTTGCCTTSAGACTATTATGGTCCTTTTCTTTTGATAAACCTCTTATCTGCTTAAAATTGGTTTAATTCCACCCCCTTTCATGAAAAATTCTAGCAGCCCTTTTGTTTAAGAGAAACAATTGACTGGTAGGAAAGAGAACCAGATGCTGGATTGTAAGCTGTAAATGAATATCCAGTRCTTTCTATACATTAGTGTTCATAACAAGATGAATTGGTATCCATAGAGGTATTCATAGACACTATATTTTTGTTTTGTAGCCAGTACCAACACCATCACCAGCAATTCCAGCACCTCAGCCACCTAATATATGGCAGAAAAGAATGGAGACCCAGAATGAGATCCAACAAATATTGCCATCAAACGAAGAAGAAGAGCTAAGACAACTACAAATGGCTTTGGAAATGAGTAGGAATCTTGCTGAGATGGAGGAACAACAAAAGTATGACTAATGAGTTGAATAATATTAAATATAGTATTTCTTTTAGACAAGATTACAACATTTTGTCTCTGTAGGCAAATAGCTGCTTTACAAGAAGAATTGGAGTTAATTTCTCTGGAGCAAGAGAATTTGAAGTTGTGCTTGTCTGATAGTGATGAGGAATCTCAAGGCAAGGCACCTTTGGATGCAAGAGCTGGCATTTCACTTACTGGCAAAACACATACTGGTGATAARGACAATAATCAAGCATATTCCMAAGTAGAGGTTGAAAATGATACTAGTAGCCTACAAAAAAATCTGAATAATGAAGGTATCGTCTTCAGGTCCAGTAGTCATGATCAGGAAAAAGATGTGCAACACTTAAAGTATGAACCATGTAAACCAAAAACCTGTAYTAGCCAATGGGAAGAAAAAAATGTCTGCCCTTATGGTCGAAACTGCTGCCTTGGAAAAAGATGTAMAAAATTTCATCCATCTTCGAAGAGAAGTGAGAGGCTTGAAGTCAACAGGGATCCATGCATTGTTAGAATGAAGAGTGCAACTACATGCAGTGATTTAGAGTCCAAATTACTAAATGGAAGTGAKACTAAGGACTGTGAACAGAAAGATGACAATACAATAGCGGCTTCAACTGTTACATTAAGTGAAGATTGGGATGATAGCTCAGATCCATCAACAGCATCAACAATGCCATGTGTTGTCCAAAACCATCYAAGTGAAGAAGACTGGGGACATGAAGAGGAGTGGATTTCTGTTTATAGCCAAGATAGTGACCATACATCTAGYGATTCAGAAGACAAGGCACCACTGAGTAGTATAACATTTCAAATGACAGAAAAATCACAGGAAAATGAGAACTGCGACAGTGTGTTAAAAGAATGTGAGGTTGTTTATGGAAATTTGCCACAAGGTAACACTATTCACATGGAGATACTAAGTCAACATGGACTTGGAATACAGTCAGATAATACTGAAAGAGTGTTTCATTCTGATAATCAATATCATAGAATTAGTAGTAACAAAAGTTTGAAAACTGATGCTGACACAGGAAGAGTCCCTGAAGAAGTAGTGGTAGCCAATGGAAATCTTCCAGGCCCTCCTAATGTTTCTCAAGGAGTGTGTGAGATGTCTCCAAGAATGCCTCAAAATTACATGCCATCATACCCATTCAAAGGTAACCTGCCTACAGTACACCCAGCAGCCAATAACTCTCTAAATGGTGTACAACCTCTGCTGCCTGTGCTTGGTTTTGATATGTTGTCTGGATTGACAAATGCATGTCAGTTTAATCAAAATGTGATTATGAACTCTGTTAATAATAGCATTTCTAATACAGCTCCGTTTCCTCTTGGACAAATGGCAACTGGTTCTTTCACAAGTCAAAACCATGTGTTATCTCGTTCACCAACATCTCAATTGTCTACAGTACCAGTGCAAGGGTTATTTCATGCTGGAAACATGACTAGCGTGAGTCCAGGAATTCCAGTATCAAGCCAAGTTCAAATGCAAGCAAGAGTTCAGTCAACAGCTTCAAATCATGATGCATCAGTTACAAGTCAACCACTGTATGAATCACCATCAGGAACAGCAAACCAAACATCTACAAACACTAACATGGTTACACCTAGTTCATATGGTGAAACAGCAAATGACAAGCAAACATCACAACAAGTGAAGACAGTCACTCCTGGATCCATTACAAACCATGGTAATAGTCAAGTTGATGGGTGTCAACACTGGTCAAATGTTGGTCCACCTTATTCACAAAGCACTGCAGCTACACATCCAGTTTTGCCAATTCCAGGATTATCTATGCCAACATTGCAGAACATGAATCCACTTTTACCAATCTATCCTGGACTACCACTCCCTCAGCAAGGTGTCATGTCAAATCCACCAAAGATGAACACATGGAATGCTCCTGGAATACAGAATCCTCCATTTGGCTTTCAATGTGGTGTACCTTTAGCTAATGGTACGAACCTCATGTCATTGATGGCTTTAGAAGCACAGTATCTTAACATGGTACAATCACAAATGTCGTCATCCTTATTAGCCAACCAGCAAACTAATCCAAGTGAACCAATAATTAATGGACACTCAACACAAGGTACAAGAAGTAGTGTTGCATTTTCTTATTGAGGTTTACGTTGTTTTTGATATTTCATTCATTGCCTTTTTAACAGGTGAACAATCTACCAACATACCTGATGTGGAGAGGCAGAAAGCCAACAATAAAGGAAGCAATATTAGGAAGCCAGTAACAGGTTTGTATATTGGCATTAAGCATCTCATGTTATTGAGAATTTTTATCACATTAACTCCAACTTTGTTTCTGACCATTTCTTTGATTGAAAACTTGAATCATTATTAATCAAACATGTTGTCCATGTTTGCATCAAAGTGGTTCCAAGATGTCATCTTCTAAACTTGTCTGTTTTTTTTTTTTTTTTTTTTTTCAGTACCCAGAGTTTTGAGTTATGTGGAAAGCAGATAATAGCCAAGCTGGTGGATGAATTATTATAGCATTGAAAATAATACTCAGGATATGTTTAATAATATTCTGTTCAGAAACATCTAAGTTCTAAAATACATAACACTGACTATGGTGCTTTTTGGAATTTATCATTCTCAGAGAATGTAACATTGTCAAAATCATCGTAATTTCTGGGAGATTTGAGATATATCCACACAGTAATTACAAATATAAACTTTTCTAATATTGTAAATAATTTGAGAAAAAAATAGTTCAAGTTGATATTTATATTGCTATTTGGGAAAGGTCATTATATCAGAAGAATGTTTATTATTACATAAAAAAATTGTTATGGTTTAAAAAAAGGTTACCAAACATGCTCATGTATGTCAGTCAGTCTGTAGCCATTGATAAATATAATTTTCAGACTGATGTTGATAATTGAAATCTGGTTCATATTTGAATACGTCTGTGTACTACAAGGTAGTATAGTGACACTGGCATTTCCAGAATAACAAAGAATGGATTGATGGTCACAGGGCATGGCCTGTCAGCAAAAGATTGAATTGATACATGACCATACATCATGGCTATATGATGAAGTGCAGTCATTCATTAATGATATTGTACACAGTTTTGAGCACATATATGTATTTATTTTTGAATGTCATAAAAATCAGGCTAACTGATCTTGTTGCTTAATGGTGAGGTTTATGAAAGTTTTGGGTTAGGTTAGTGTTGGGTACAAATATTATAGATCTGGTTTTGAAGTACTTTGAAATTTTCTAATATGTACATTGATGTACATGAGGCCTTCTATGTGTACTTTGGTGCCATGTTTTCAAATAAAGCAGTGGTTATTTTTTACAATCATGCAAACTAAGTTGAAACAAAACCATTTATTTGTTGTGGATTCAACAGTTGAATATTTACATTTTTACAATGATGTTCTTGTAACTTGCCATCCTGGTGCTGGGTATTAAAGCTATATATTATCTTGATTTGTCATCACTGGAGATCATCATCATCAAATAAATCATCGAATGCTAAAAACAAAATCAAAAACGAACTTACCACGTACTGCTAGCTTCGTAGATTATCAAACAAGCAATGAGACAGATATTAGGCTTAATATTTTTTGTAGGCTCTCTACATTTTTTGCATACCACATAAGCTTAATTCTGTTTACCCATCCACAATTTTTTCATTTACTATTTCTTACCATTATAAAAATCTGAATGGACAGCTCTTTCGTTAGCTGCTAGCTCGATAAGCATTGCTCCACCGCTTCCAGCCTGGGGAAAAGATTAAGTTATTGTCGAAAATGAGCTAGAAAATGTCAGAAATTATTGACACGAATTATTCAATCACCTCATCCATTTCCATCCAACCACTGTCACCATCGGGGAACATTTCATCTTGTGCAATTACTGCAGACACTACCGAGGCTCCTGGTTTCATTTTAGTCAAGATTATTGTGAAAATAAATTGTGAAAATACAACGTTGCAAAGGTAATGGCTGGTAATGAAACCACTAATGGTATACTCCGCTGTAAACTGAGCCTGCAGTTCAAATCCAAAATGGCTACTTCGTAGTCGACGAATTCCTGACTTTATATTTCTGATTTCTAGCACATTCTTAGGACCATGACGATATATAATATGTACATTTTCGACCGAAATGGTACTTGCTTGTATTATGAAGAATGGAATAGAACAAAGAAGTCTGATATGTCGCACGAGCAGGTAAGCTCTATGACTAAGTAAGGCTTAAGATGTTCCAGGAATAAGGCTCACAAGCTACCCGAAAAAAATATAAGGAACTTTATTTATCAGACAACAGGTTTAGTGAGGTTCTTGATTAATATGCTTTATTTTTTTATTATAGTATTACCTTAGTATTTAGACTTCAACATAGCCTGTTTGTTTTGTAGGAGTTTAAGTTGATGTATGGGATGCTCTACTCCATCAAGTCTTTTGTGGCTCGAATTTCTCCCTTTGATTCGTATCCTTTATAGAGTTTAGAATTAATTAATATTACATTAAGTCCACCACTACACAGATCCATTCAGGTAAACGTACGACGTTGAGATAGAAAAAGCATGCATGCATAATGCACCATAAAGCTTTTCTTTTGTTTTGGGTGTCAAATCCTTGACTTGTTTAACAGCAAAGATGGATTTTGTAGCTATACGACAAGCAAGTATAAACTTCACTTTTATGAAACACCTACAGGATTGAAACTAATAATGAACACAGATATCAACACTAATAATGCTAGAGATACTCTTCAAGACATTTATAGCAAGGTATTCTCTATACCCGTACCCTCTTCTCTATGACAGTGTATGTAATTAAAAGGTGCTATACAGAAGAACTTCTATTCACTTACCCAGCAATTATTTGTACACGCTATCTGACACATAAAAAAAAGGGACAAGAAGGCCAAGTGCAACCACACCTTTTTGCTTTAATTACTAGGAAATCTATTGGGTTTGATGACAGTCCAATCTAGAATGTGAACTGTTCAAAAAGAGTGGTTACAATTCATTATCGTCATTATCTAAATGCAACTTATTGTCATGGTAACTGTTTCTTGCAGGTTTATGTTGAATATGTTGTCAAGAATCCTTTATGCAAGTTGGATGAACCAATACAAAGTGAACTGTTCAAAACAAAACTTGATGCTTATATCAAAGGTTTACCAGCTTACAATTAATAATAATCATATCAAAATCTGATATACATTATTTTTGGTCATCCAAGCAATGGGTAATACAATATTAATACAAATAAGATTTGCTTTTCATTGAAAACATTAGCTATCAATCACAGTGACCAATTCATGGCATATCTGTCTATATCATTTTGTTCTACTTGAATTATAACAACTGTTAGTTATAACATATCAATAGCCATTTGGGAATTGATTTTATTAATAGTTTTAAGTTGTTTGAATAACCTTGTCTCTTATATCCAATACATCACACTCTGCCATGTACAATACAGTCAAGTTACAGGCTTTGATGATCATAATAGACTCTAAGTGATAATTTAATGTATTTATGTACAATATTTACAAAAGTATGAAAAGTTGAAGTAGAACTGTATGCATGAATAATTGTATAAAAAATAGATTTTTTTGTAAACGTATTTGAATAAATCTATTACAGTGTAAATAATAAAGTGTGTTCTCATGCTTATCCAATCAGGAACTTAACTTACAATGAAACCATGCTTCATATCATAGTTATTTTGAAACTTGTGGTCAGTCATCATTACCATCCTCCATTCATGGTAAAATGGATGTAATGTATTAACAAGTATATTWCCTTCATATAAAACTGTACATGTGGGTCTGCGTGATGTAATAAAAGATGTTGTAGAGAATGTGTTGGTATTCTGTGGTTCTGTGTTCTTTCATTTGACCCTTGAAAGTCAAGATATTTCCTTTTCTGGATGCCACCTGATACATGACTATGTAAACTGAGTAAGTTATCTCCATGCAGTTGATGGTTTTGTCTGCTTGCCTGTCTGGGGTGGTAGCGACCGTCTGTCATTCTTGGCTAGTATGTGTTTGTTGCTTGCCTTGGTTGGTGCTTGGTGCCGGGGTATACCTTGATCAGTTGTTGATCTTTGAGGTGGACCTCCAACCATAGGAGCTTTTGGTTTTGGTTGATCACTTTTGATAGATTGTTCAGGTATGACATTGCTTGAGGGGCCAACAGGTTTCTGAGAAAAAAATATTTCAACTTATCAGTCTTCAGTATTTTACAAAAAATACTGGGTTGCTTTCTAAGTGCTAAATGTTGCTTTCATTTTTTTTCTTTCTTTGAATATCCTTCATTCTCTAAGGTGCAAACTGTCAGAGGAACCATCAAGGGTTGAATAACACAGTTTTCTGAACCAACCTGTTTTCTAAGAGGAAAACTTGTATCAAGGTTTCTCTTTACATGGTTGCTGCTGGTTGGACGAGTATTTAGTTTTCCAGTTTGATGACCATCTTGAGATCTTGATTCTCCTGATTTCCTGAAGTTTAATAGTGTAATGTTTACTACATTGCTTATGTATATCATGTTCTGTTACACTGTTCACTCAGATATCTTTCTTTCTTTTATCTTTATCTAATATGTATTTCCACCAACTGATATTTCAATTGCAGTCCTCTCCTAGCTCGTTTTTTCTTTATTCTCACAAAAATTATTTTATTTCTTAAATGTCAGTCTACTAACCCTACTAACCCTTTCTGCATTTCCTTCATGACACCAAACAATTGTTCAGCTGAAGGAACCTGTACTCCTGTTTGCCCTTCAGACATCAATGAGAGTAGTTTGGATAACTGCTTCATCTGTTTTGGTGTCAGTGAAGGCTGATGGGTGTCCCTTGTGCCTAGATCTATCGGGTCTTTATCTCTTCTGGGTGGAGTTTGAGGTTGTGCAGACGGCTGAGAATGTGGGACCTTTAGAAATGGAATGTATTATTTATCATAGTGAAAAAGTTCTAAATAATTATTGGACTATGGGGTGACAACATTTGAATGGCTGGACCTTGTATTCAAGARAAGATACAAAGTCATTTTATTCATGAATCATTGAATGGTGTGTGAAACTGGGCCGAGTTGGTCAGAACCTGATTAGTGCTAATTCTGGGTTAACTCTTAGAAAACCTATGGAGTTAACCCTGGTTTAACACTAATCAGGCTTTGAACAACCCGTCCCTGATTGACAAGTCTCAGCAAGACTCGCATGATAGTACAGATAAATTGGGTTTACATTATTGGAAATATCAATTCAATTTCATAACAGTTAGTGAATTCATTTACTTGTGATGGGCGCATGCTGAATGTTTCAGGAATGGTCATCATGGTRAAAGCTTGATGATGTGATTGCTGTTTAGTTTTGAAAATAATGATTTATTAGATGATATGGTTGAATAGAATTAACATCATCATCATCATCATCACCACTACAACAAATTACAATCTTTACAGTATTGCACATTGCAATCATCATGACCTGAGCCTTGATATCATACCTTTGAAATGTCTTTAGTTACTGAATTAGATCCAATATAATCAGGTTGAGAATAATTTCCTCTTATGCTTGTCTTAGTAGCATCTGTATTTGCTGAGGTCAAATCACAAGAATGTTGAGTTATTTATTGTAAAGCTTAGGATATCTTACATTTAGCACACACCTTCACCCAAAGAACTTGGAATTTTCAWGAAGCCACCAGAAACYTGCTCTATTTCCTGAAAGGCAAGAATGATCAATTATCRTAAAACAATTCTAAAAATTGTATATTTAACTTATTTATTTCAGTCACAAACCTCTTGAAAATCATGTCCTGGAGATCTTTTCAAAAGCTAAAATATTACAATAAAGAACAAAACAGATGTTTTTTTATGATATGAATGCATGCGTATTTGAATTGAGAAATTTACAAATGTAAATTTACCATATTCACATAGTGATTYAGTTCAGCTTGTCGTTGTTCTTGTTCATGAAGTTTGTCTGATATTTCATGTCCTTGATTTCTATGGTTGAATATAACTCAGTATATGAATAAAACAAATCTACTGATAAAATGATTATTATGCCATATGTCCCAGCATGGGAGGAGTTCACAGATAAATGAGTGACACAAACAACTGACAGTATGCAGACCTGATGGGCAGCCCGTATTGGGGGGAATCTGCTGTKGTTGATAATCGGCTTTCTTCAAGGTCTTGTTCAAGAAGAGTCCCATTACTACCACCAGATGACATCACCTGTGATTTAGTATTCAGCCATCAAAATTATTGTTAACAATAACAGTAAAAAATGTTAAAATCAAAAGTAAACTATACCTTGGAYTGATATTCCTCTGGAAAAGTTGTCCCATTCAAAGGTCCAGAATCTGGTGATCCATGTAAAGCACTAATGACACTTTCAGTGTCATTGTCATCRTGAATGGTTTTCAAAGGTACAAAGTCCACTCCAGATCGAGACACATCTCCATTCATATCCCCATCATGRTAACTACCAAAGATACTGTTTCCCTGGTAACCATTAGGGTACCCTACTGGCATCGGAGCAGCTAATGAAGATTGACTTCCAATATAACTAGGTCTGGAATGATCTAGTATTTGGTCACCATGACTGGGATTTGAGGTTTTCAGTAATGTTCCTTGATTCTGTGATGGATTSCTTGTAGACATAGAATGCTTTGTGACAKTATGTGAGTTATAGTGACTTGGTGTGATGTGYTTGGTAGGTATACTGGTATGGTAATTCATTGTTGGTGCATTTGTTGGTTGGTAGGATGTGTGATGTATATAACTGTTAGTATGACTTGATGGATTGGTGAATGCTGATGATGTAGGAGAGCTTTGCAAATTGGCTGCCATTCCTTTTGGACTTATTTTTGATGGGAAATCACTCAGCTGTGTCGTGAAGAAAAAAAAAACAACAATCAGACTAGTTTCTTGTATTTCAAYTATTTAAGCATGAATGATAACAATATATGGTACCTTGTCAACTAGCTTTCCTGGAGGAGATGCCCTATTACTTGACAAAAGACGCAAGGCTTCGTCACAGTGCGCTTGCATCATTTGGTGCATGCGAATGGTTAARTTTTGCCTGTAAAATGTAGTTTAATGAGTCTTGAAAATTGAACCTAATTTGACTTAAAAATTTTAATTATTAGCAATGCAATCCAATTTATTATATGATCTCTATTAATAATAGTTTTAGAAGTAAATATGTGATGTTAGTTATTTTTATTGTCTTTATGTGTTAGTATAATTACAKAAAAGCCAGGTACTGTATATTCACCTCTGATTTTCTAGTTGCTGTCGTTGGTTGSTCAATGATGCTATTTTGTCTTGAGCTTCTGTTAATCTGTATTTAACCAAGATAACATCAGTTAATTTTAATCTCACAGATGCATCATGGATCATAGTGCCCATTGACTGCAATGTTTATTCATTATTAATATCTAAAGATCAATTTCACCTTTCTTCATATTCATTAGAAGCAGTTTTGAGTTTTGTGTCTTTCTTTTTTATTTCCTGAAAATAAGAAAGGAATTATGTCAGCTATTATTAATAGTTAACTAACCAGATGCCAACTGACAATAATTGATGTGCACCTCATGAAACTTTTCCAACTGTTGATGCATCTCATCCTTGTGTTTGTTGCTAATCTCCTGTACCTAGAATAAAAAAAGTCAGAGTCAATGTTAAAATCATGAAATTGCTGTTGCTACAGTCAACTAGTACTAACCTGTTTACGATGTGATTCTCTCATCTCYGCTTCTGATTTAGTCATGTGTTGATGCAGCTCTTCCAGTCTTTGTGTCATCTTAATAAAAGTAGAGTTTAATGTATTGTACATGCAGCCATGAGAACAATGTTTGATAAAATGGGGGCAGCGAATAACGAGCATCATTGATAGCTCATAAAAACATACATGAAAATATTGATAGACTGACTTGCTTAGCAATATACAAAGTCTGCTGTAACTTTTAGAAAACATGTTTGTCAGCCACAATCACCTGCTTTTCTAGCTCTGCTTGTCTTTCTGTYTCCTCTTTTGCCTTGCTTGCTTCATGTCTGGCTTGCATCAAACTCATCTCCATTTTTAAACTCTCCTGTGAAATTCAATAAAAATGTACAATTGTAAATCAAAAGTATCATTAGCTTAGTAATAGCTTAGTAATTGTTGATGCATCAAAATTTAATTCATCATGCTACCATTAAAATAACATCATGATGATAAAAAGATCCTAATAATAGTTCTCACACTCCATAATTCAAGTACCTTTTCYCTRTTTGTTGTATCTAGCTCCATTTCAAGCCTTTTGRCTTCTTTTTGCAAAGMCGCTGCATTGTCTTTGTTTTCCTGATAACAATATACAMTCAGGTTAAAGCGTTGCAAGCTACAGTTACTGTATGAGACAATCACTAAATGATGGAACTTATACCTGGTAGAACTTTCTTTCTTCTTCTATCTTTTTCTAAGAAAACAAACACAAAATATATGATACAAATGACGTCTTGACAGTCATGATTTTGATATAACCAATGATGAAATTAGCAATAATTATTGAGTRGTAAGTACCTTTTCAGTGGATAAAGAATCAGAAAATTCCTCTCTTAACAATTTCAACTCTGAACGCATTTTCAAATTCTTCTCAGAAAGCTGCAAGGCAAGAATGCTTTATTCGACATTCAACATGTCCATTAAATTGACAACTAGATTTAAACAAAATACCAGTAAACAAGAAGTTGTCCCAATAGTCATGCAATAAAGATTACCTCTTCAATTTGTCTTTGTGCCTCCATGTACTTCTGCTGTGCTTGTTCCTTTTCTTGTACTATACCTATCTTCTCATCTTCTGTTTTCTTCGTTCTCTCTTTTTCTTTTCCTAGCACCTGCAGTAATTCTTCTCTATCTTTGACTTGCTTTTCAATCTTAAATTGGGAAAACATAAGGATAAAATAATAATCAACAACTACATTCAATTTGTGCTGTTTAAACTCTATGTTCTTCCTAGGGTCAAAGCTAGTAAACAACATGACAATTTTAAGCTACTTGCATTGTACTATATCACTTGTTACTGTCAGTAACTGATATTATTCAAACCTGAATAGATCCATACATTGTACAAAAAAGGGAAATCAACATAACACTTGAAATACTTACAACTTCCTGCTTTTGTCTTTCTGCTTCAGATGCTTTTTCTTGTTCTTTTGTGAAAGCTTCAACAGCCTTTTCCAACTCTTTTTCAAATTGAAGCAGCATCTGATTTTAAAGAGAAATATTTACCAGTAAATGATAAAATATATTTATCTATTTAATACAGTTAAGTGGGGAGACATGCCATTTATTATATTATTATAAAGAAAACACTCTATTGTGTCTACTGACACAATATGTACCTCTTGCTGCTTCTGATGAGCCTGGTCCTGCATCTCTCTTTCCTGTTTTAGTGTGTTGATTACAATCAGCTTTTCATTYTCATGTTTTTTCCATCCTTCAACAACTTTAGCAAGAGTCTAAAAGATGTCCAAACAAAATATACAGTATCTCAAAAGCCATTGGAACTGATAGAAAATTAAGTTTGTATCCATTCCAGGTAAATTCGATTAAAGCTAAATCTCTGTTGCAACTGTAAGTTTACCTTGTCCAGTTGTTCTATCATGACATCTTTCTTTCTTTCTGATGATACTGCAACAGCAAGTTCTTGCTGAATCTCGAGCATCTAAGAAGACAAATAGTATATTACACTAATCTACCAATGCTGCCTTTTCGAGAAAGGAAATATAATTCTTTAGTATCACTTGCAAATTGTTTGTTGTTATAAAAGATAAATATAAAGATTAATAAATATAAAGATTAATAAATATCGCACCTAAGCAAACTACGTGTAGCCTGCGTACATCTGGTTTACGCTGGATGAACTCAGGCTAACTACATGTAGTTTAAAAACAACCGTCAAAAATCTAGATATTGACAAGGATCTTGTCAAGTTTTTTTCAAGAAAAAGGGGGGCCGCGGCCCCTTCGGCCCACTCCTAAATCTGCCACTGATAAGCCTCTTATGATGATGCTCCAAAATTTGAAAATGGCTACTGAGGTACATCAATGGTACTTATATTTTTACCTTAGAATGAAGCTCCTGAATCTGCTGTTCACAGTGCTGAAAGAAACATTACATAATTCAAGAAACCTTGGTGCTTTTTATTGATAATAGAGAATTTTCTTGATCATTTACAAAATTTTTAGTTTGAATTTGTAACTACAATGGCTAATACTTTGTTGTCTTGATGCAATAATTTCCATCAAGGCAATAATTATTACTCTTTATTAATTATTTATCTTATAATAACTGTTTACCTTTCTCTTGAATTTTTCTCTATCCAAGTGTTCTCTGAGAAGACTATTTTCTGACATTAAATTTCTAYTTGTGTTACTTGAAGGCTTGTCGTGATTACGAAATGAAGAAACCATGCTGTCATTACTTTGTTTTGCTACTGACTGGTCCATACTTGCAGTATGTGCACCCCTTGACTGATCAGCAAAATGAGACTGAAATTCAACAAACCAAATTCAATTTGCAATGATCTCTACATCAGTATGTTTAATGACAATACAATGATACCATTACAAATAAGACAGTAAAATATTAAGTAATAATGGACAGCTGACAGTAACTTCAACAGCTACAAGAAAAGCAGTGTTTTATCAATACATTTTATCATTTAAGTCTTACCCTAAACTCCTCCATTGGAGATAAAATAGGGAGCAGTTTCTGCAAGAAGGCAGCAGTATCTACACTTGTTGCAGATGTGTTTGCARCATCTCCCTTGTCATCTCCCTCTACTGTCTCTTCATATTCATTCTCAATATCAAAACCTTTAGATGTCTTCATCATATTCTGTATGTGATTTCTGACATTCTCCATTTCTTGGATGTCTACACTAGTTACAGCACTAACATCACCAGTGACATCCAAGTTAAACTAAAAGAAGGACAGATGGACAAACAGCTATTGTTGATCTCCAACAAGAAACAAACTCTTATAAATAAATACACGTCCATTGRACAGTGAGATGGCAATTCTTGTTCACAGYTCAATGTTTACATACCACCTCTTCAAAATATTCACCTTTGAATGGTTGCTACTATCCTCTTGTTGATGTGACGACACAAGTTGTGACATTCCACTATGTGGCGGGGATACATCTGGTGTCACAGGATTGAACATGACATGTTTTTGTGACATGATTTCATATGAAATCTCCCTTGAAAACCTGAAGGACATTCCACATTGTAAATACCCTTTCAATCTTCCCTCTAAGCTGATGGGATCCCTTTGCTTATTTTACTTTTTCATCGTGCATGAAATCAATATCAAAGACTTTAAAAAAACTACTCTCAATAAAAAACAAACAGCATTGAAGTTAAGCATCTTAAGCATGCATCATGATGTYTTCTGGCTAGGATGACCTCTTGTAGCATTCAGACCAAGTCAGAGAAAATGACATTTCCACGGTTGTTGTTTACATAAACGTTTGCATACACTTTTTCTGGCATTTCAATCTTAGCATCGTCCTCCAAAAGAACTAATCATKTATCCATAACAGATAATATCATCAACGCTCCTTCGATGACTTAAGATAAAAAAATTCCTACATGTGAAAAACCTTGGACAAGTTAAACTTAGGTTTGCCGTCACTCTCTTGACGCGCGTGTCTTCAAACGTCTAAGTCATGGCAAAATAAGGATTTTTGACCTTCGATTATACTCTTACCTTCTTGTAAATCCGTTGTGTGTCTATTTAGGGAAATCAATCTAAGAAATAAGGAGTTCAAAGAGCTAAAACATGAGATCAAACATTGCGACCGTTGAAAGAAGTTGTAGAAATGTTATGCTACTAAGGGTAACCGCTGATTAAGGCTCAACTATTCTTATCTACTAGGGGAGGGGTCAGTGGTTATAAAGCTTTGCTTTATTCTAGAGATGATTTCTTTTTGCATGTAATAATAATCTAGAACTATATTTTTAAAATATATTGCAATAACTAACTTCTTTAAGTATCAGGACAGATAATAATGTTTTTGAAAGATAAAATAAATGTAGATAGAATGATAGTGCTTACCCTCTCCTCCCTATTGATTTTTTTTTTTGTTTCAGAACTTATGGCGGGAGATATGGAGTAAATCGAGTTGTTAGCATTTCTTCTCTGAATTCTGGCTTTACAGCTCTGAACAATGGCTGAAGGAGATAACAACAATGAACCTAAAGAAAGTGTTTCCGAGTTCGAAAAGTTTGATATCAACGAATATGAGACTCAATTTTTTGGTTTCACTCCAAAGTCGTTCTTGGATGGCGGTAGGTTCCAAACGCGATCGCCAACTTCTAAGTTCTTCAACAAGAAACGTATTTTGATAAGAACTGCTTGACCTTTTTTACAGTTTATAACGCCATTAGTGATTATGTTAGCGACTGCTTTGGAGAGCTGGAAAAACAGCTAGCAAGTGAGGTATAAAACTGCATTTCTTGTAATAGAATGAACGATTGCATGTAATAATAATTTATTCTTTTGATTGTTGTTTTCAGACTTCACTAACGAAAAGTTCTACACCTGAACAAATACACCAAGTAAAAGTTACATGTCAATACCGATTGATAAAGATTTGTGTAATTATAAACTTAATACCTTTCTTTTATAGAAATGTGATGCAATGTTAAAACGTTTCTACAAAAGTGTAGACAATTCCTTTGATTATCTTGAGGTATGTTAAATAGACAACTGAAATTAAAGTATACTCTAACAACTCTCTGGTATCTTATAATTATTTTTATRTTGTTTATCAGATCTATCTTATGATGAATGTCTTTGAGATTCCTGCACATGTCCTGTTACCAGAGGACAAGGTAAAGGCTGTTCTTTGGCTGTTGACTTTCCAGGGAGGGCCTTTGCTAGTCTCCAAARGAYACACATCAGTGTGTGCGTCAGTGATGGATCTAGGGCTTTTTTT